CCAGTCTTACCTATGAAACACTGCCCCTGCAGGATACCACCTGCAACCAGTGGCTGTCAAATAAGGGTGTTTTAAAAAGGTCGTCCAGATTTGAAATCTCTATATCTCTGCAACCACGAACCGCCTATGAATGAAACTCTTACCACTTGAAAGGGCGGGCCACAGAGTTTTAAATGATTACCGCTCGATGCCTCTCCCAGCGCACAAACAGCCCCTAGCCTCAGAGAGTGGCTGGTCGAGTACCAGTAGTTAGGTTGGTTTAAGAGCTTTTTTATGTTTAGAAATACAACTTTAGGGTTTATTTTACCGTAAGCAATTTGGTTGGTGAGGAAGGAAGATATTGCGAGGGTGTGTACGTCACTATAAGTGCGAAGTAAGGTTTTAAACATTTGATAATGTATGGTTGAACCAGATTTTTTCCAGGCACATTCAGATTTGCGGAGTGCAGTTTTAAGTATACGTAATTGAGTGGAGAACCAAGGTGAGGATTTGATGGCTGAAATGTGTCTGTTTTTAAGAGAGGCCAGCGAATCCAGTATTGTGTGAAGGGAGAAGTGATATGACGAGGCTGCCTCATCCACTGAAAGTGAATTAAGCTTAGAGAGGGGAGAAAGGGCAATAGACTGGGCAGTAGAAGTGGAGGGGCTATACTTTATGCTGCAATATGTGATATGATGCTTAAGGGAACCAGATTGGGGGGGGGGGTAACTCAAAGATTATTGCAGAGTGATCTCAAACGACTACATCAGCAATAGAAAGGTATTAAGCTGAGAACCCAGTGGGGCGGATTAAGTGTAATGTATGGCCATCTGACTGAGTAGAGCCCTAAACATGTGAAAAACCAAACAATTTTAAGATGGCTACAAAATCTGTAATTGCAGTGATAGATGGGGAGTCTACATCAATGTTAAAGTTCCCACATAGCAGAATCCGGTTGAATTTAGAGCACACCATTGAGAGGAGATCAGGGAAGTCAGCAAGGAAGGTAGTGGTTGGACTGGATGGACGGTAAAGCAAAAACAAGTATAACCCGTAAAAACAAAGTTTTTCACTATAAATCCTTTATATGCGTGGCGGCTAGAGTCCTCTCGTCCTCTGGCTTGAGATGGCTGCCACATATGGGTCAGATGATTGCCTGCCACCATTAAGCAATTGGTAATTAAATATAATATTTTTGTCCAAAAAAGTGTAAAATTTTGGAAAAAACGAGTCTGTGTGCAAAATGTCAGCTCGATTGGATCACGGGAAGTGGGTTAAAAAACGACCGAAAGATTTGCACGGTCGTAAGCGCGCAAGCAAGCAAGTGAACTTAATATAAAGGATTTAAAAATATATTCGCCTGTGGAGGACGCGGGGATCGATCCCGCAACCTTTGGCATGGGAAGCGAGGGCGCTACCAACTGCGCTACTCCGCCAGGGCCTGTGGAGGTGTCACGCTCTGGGCTCCTACACTGTGACGTTCAGCCAAAGCCATGAATGAGTTCTATTTGAATAAATGTAAAAAAATACATTCGCCTGTGGAGGACGCGGGGATCGATCCCGCGATCTTTGGCATGGGAAGCGAGGGCACTACCAACTGCGCTACTCCGCCACGGCCTGTGGAGGTGTCACGCTCTGGGCTCTTACACTGTGACGTTCAGCCAAAGCCATGAATGAGTTATATTTGAATAAATGTAAAACACATTTTTTTTTGCCTAAAAAGTGTAAAATTTTGGAGAGAAAAAATTCACGAACATTAATTGTCTCGCACAACGAGTATGTGTGCAAAATTTCAGCTCGATTGGATCACGGGAAGTGGGTTAAAACACGACCGAAAGATTTGCACGGTTCTAAGCAAGCAAGCGAACTTAATATGAAGGATTTAATAATAGCAGTGATTGAAATGTTTTCCAACAGAGGTATGTGTTCAAAAGAATGGAACAAAGTTAATGAAGTTGAATGGAGGTTCGTGTTACTGTGGTTAAATGCAAGTCCTCATCCACGACCAGAAGCTCAGGGTCTATCGTGAAAGGAAAAGCCTGAAGGTGTTGCCTCAATTAGTGACAAATGGTCGGAAGGTCTATGCCAGGTCTCAGTCAAGCACATGAGGTCCAGGGCATTTTATAGAATGAAATAATTTACTAGTAGTGCCTTAGTATTTAATGAACGTATATTTATCAAAGCGACCTGAGTAATGAAAAGAACACGGGGTGGCGAGAACACGTGCTTCCATGGGCAGTCGGGGACAGGGCATTGTTGTATTGCCCACAGGTGCCACCGGGTACGTCCCCCAAGTTGCACCGCCCATGGTGGGGTCCGGTGGAGGTCATAGAGGTGAAACGGCTGCAGTGTGTACGAAAACAGACAGGGCGTCGCCGTTGGTTCGTCCACCCGTCCCGCCTCAAAACTTATATCCATCCCCACCCAGACAGCTCATCCCCATGTCCTGTATGGCCGATGTCTGGTGTGTCCGAAGTGCTGGGGCGCTCAGTCAAGTAAACCGTACGCCAAAGACAATGTGTTGTGCCGCCCACAGTTTCCGAGCCCCTGAGGCCCGGGGTGTCTCAAGGATATGCCACGTGCGAGGGACCGGTGTCTGGAGCCCGGTCAAATTCTTCAAAAGAAGCCAGGGATGAGCCTAACCCTTCAAGGCTGTTCTGCGAACCCTTGACGCCCGGAAAGGCACAAGATTCCGCCATGAGCGGGGGACCGGCGTCGAGAACCCGGTCAAAATGCATAAGGTTGCGCTATTAGGCTCCACGCCCAACCCACAAGCGATGGAAGGGTTCCCTCGAACAACGTGGAAGTGTGTTATGGTTATTGTTGGTATGGTTCTTGATGTCGGGTGAGTAGGGTCACACTGCTCACCCCTTACAGTAGACCCTTAAGATTGCAATCATCGGGTGTCGGGAAAATGTTGCTTCAGTTGCTGCCCTAACGCACGTTGCTTCTAAAAATTGTTGTTAGCCACAAGAAGATAAAGAGAGAGAAGGGAATGATTGCAAGCTCCAGAAAGGTTCGGCCGCAGGTGGCCGGGGGTAATCGATGACGCAGGCCGGTGATTGGACGAGAGGTATGGGTGTCATAAATTGGCGCCGCTGTGTCTACAACAACAACGCCACGTGGCACTGGGGGATGGGGGCGAGTAGCGAAGCGGGGGATGATCCAATTAATTAAGGAGAATTGGTTCAGGGATATAGGCGGAGAGCGTGGAGGGAAACGGGAGTTGGTGCCTGGGATGAGTGAAGAACGGATGGAGAGACGGAGCAGCGGATAGAGTGGGTATAGTATAATGTAGCAGTGGACAAAGAGAGTATAGTATAGAGTAGCAGTGGACAAAGGGAATACAGTGTACAGAGAGAATACGGATAGAGTAGCAGTGGACGGAGCGAGTACAGCGCAGGATAGCAGCGGAGCATCGGACCTTGGTGGAGACAGCTACGACGGAGTGGGACGACAGAGTTAACAAAAAGCGACCAAGCTGAAGAAAGAGAGAGCAGAGAGGAGGGTCCCTGGAGGAGCAGAAGGAAAGCGAGCGGAGTGGAGCGAGCGAATGGAGGGACATTGAGTGATGTTGATGGGGAGTTGTGAGTTGAAGAGTACAGAGGGACATTGAGTGATGCCGACGGAGGAGATGTGAAACTATACGAGTTAATAAAGAACCGAGAAAGACAAAGAAGCTGTCGCGTCAGTATATACGAGTCCGACACAAGTATGGCGGTGATAACAACACAGCACATTTGTGATTGCAAAGCAGATAATGCTGGTTTGGTGGTTTTCCTGCACAAATGTGGCTGCCTGATAATACGCATTTGGAACAAATGTGAAATGTCCAATTTGACTAATTTCCCAGTTTACTATAATACTTGATTATGGATTTCCATCAAACATAAAAAAAAACATCTTTAATTTTCCCGATAAATGGTTGTTCTTTTTTCATTGTTCTACAGTTGAACAGCAAAAAAGCTCAAATTTTCTGCTCGTCATTTATGTTTTTAGTGATGAGCGTCAGACATGAAGGCGCGCTCCCATTGCCATTCCTCGTGGCCTTGTGATGCAACAATCCATCTCGCTCCTGCACAACAGCTGATCTAATCGACGATCCTCTCGTATATATTCTCGCCTGTGGATACCTGAGTTCGATTCCCAGCCTGGGTTAGCATTCACTGACCAGCGAGGTGAAGTATGGTCAAACAACACTCACGACGGGGACGATGTTAGAAGGCCTGTATCCAGAAGTGAATTGACAAATGAACATTGCTATAATGGTTTTCGGTGTACTTACACAATGTATACTATACATACACCATTTGCACACATGATAATAGACAATTAGGGTGTGTGCCAATGTTTACACTGTACAGTATGTACACATTGCCAGCACAGGATATATCATGCCCTATGAAGACAGATGTCCCCCCTATAGCCTTAACGGACTGTTGGGGCAAGTGCTGTTAGCGAGCACCTATGAAGGCCGGCACGGCGCGCGAGGGGGTGGGTGGCCGCCTTTGTCTCCCCAGTGGTGATCTTTACACACCGCACCAGGTACTCATTTGAGGCTGAGTCGACCTAGGGGAAGCCCATGACCGGTTTGGATAATTATCACCGGTGTTGACCGTGAGCGGGATTCGAACTTCGGATCGCCGGGTTCGTAGCGCAGCGCGCTAACAAAAAGTCAGACCCCCCCCCCTCAAATATGACGTCACAAAGCTCTGCCCCCTCCCCAAAAAAACATATTTCCATTTTGAAAATAAAACATGCTTCAGATCGCTTTAAACTATTGTCATTGTAGTGCGTATTTAATGTGGCGCTGCACTCTGATGTAGGAGAGTTGTTACAACAATTCTATATTTATTTAAAGTTGCGCATTTTGATGTGACGTCACATTTCGCACCCCCCCCCTCGTCACACATCGTCACAAATGTCTGACCCCCGCCCCCCCCCTAGGTGCGTGACGTCATTTATGGACGGCCCATAGAGTTATGTTGTGTGTGCTACAGCGACAAGCTCAGGGCTTGTGCAGGACAAGGGCAGCAGCAGCACTCGCCGCTCGTGACTGCCTCCATGTGCAGCAGCAGCAGCAGTGCGCGCGTGAACCGTGAGCGGGTGTCAAAGTCAACGATGCGCGCGTGTGTGTGTAGGTGTGTGCACGTACCTACACACACCTACACACACACGCCTACACACACACACGCCTACACACACACGCCTACACACACACACGCCTACACACACACACGCCTACACACACACACCTACACACACACACGCCTACACACACACACGCCTACACACACACACCTACACACACACGCGCCTACACACACGCGAGCGGTGTTGTACGTGTCGCTGTGTTTACATACTACCTACGCATGTGGCCTTTGTCTTTGTAGGAACACAGCCATTGTCAGTGCTTGCCAATAAGGACTTGCCTAGAACGGGAGTGTCATTTTGCATCCATAATACTACTACCGTCTCGAAACATCAACACTGTCGCCGCTGCTGCTGCTGTCGCTGCCACTCGGAGCGCATGGAGATGGAGGCGGCGGGGCTGGCTGCGTTGCTGGAGGAGGGATCGCGACCCCCAGCCCGGGTATGTGCGGTGGGCACCTCTGTGGTGGGGGGGGGGGGAGGCTCTGTGGTGGTGGTGGGGGGCTCTGTGGTGGGGGGCTCTGTGGTGGGGGGGGGGCTCAGCACGCTCCATTTCTCTCGTGTTGACGCTGTCACGACTGCACCGTGCTGCTATAGCGACGCCTCCGAGGAGATGGAGCGATGAAATGGGTCCGTGTGCCGGTGCTAGGCGGCTTTAATAAATGCATGGTGAGAGATGGCGGCGGGTTGGGGAGGATTTCCATCCAGCAGTAGAGTGACAATGGCTGATAACGACAGTTGCAGCGAGTATTGCTTTATTGGCAGTCTAAGGATGATTTTGCAGTGCCATGCTGTAGGTAAATGCGGCACATGTACTGGAATGACACCGAGGTATGCATTAAGTCTGGGCACTTAAATTGCTTTTGGAAACTCATCTCATCCATATGGTGGGGCATCCCCAGTGGCTATGCGTATATTCGATCAATGAAGTTTCAGTATCACGAACTTTGGATTTTTTCTACCATTATTTTACACAAAAAGCTAATAAGTATAACCCGTAAAAACAAAGTTTTTCACTCTAAATCCTTTATATGCGTGGCGACTAGAGTCCTCTCGTCCTCTGGCTTGAGATGGCTGCCACCTATGGGTCAGATGATTGTCTGCCAGTATTAAACAATTGGTAATTAAATATTTAATTTGTTTTCCCTAAACAGTGTAAAATTTTGGAATTTTTTTCACGAACATTAATTGTCTCGCACAACGAGTCTGTGTGCAAAATGTCAGCTCGATTGGATCACGGGAAGTGGGTTAAAAAACGACCAAAAGGTTTGCACGGTCGTAAGCAAGCAAGCAAGCACGCAAGCGAACTTAATATAAAGGATTTAAAAATAAAGAAATAGATGCACCAAAATGAATTAATAAATAATTATTCTCTCTACAGCACACTATAAATAACAATACAATTATGTTTCATCATCCCTTTTATTTGTAAAAAAAATATTTTTATATTGTGTACAGTATGAAAAATATTATTTTATTTTCAATATAAATTGTCTTTGCTTACAATCTGAATGATAAGTTATGAAGTGTTTATATAATGAAATGGCAAGTCACGAAGGTTGGGAACGCATCCTCATCGTACTAATGTTATAAGTTATTCAATATATGACGTTTCGATATACAAACGAAGCTCCAGGAACGCATCTACTTTGTATATCGAGGTTTACTGTATGTAATATTTGTGTTGTGGTGCTATTTCACACGGATAACTTCTTTTTATCCTGTGTCACTTTATTCATACAGAACTCATCGCGTTCAACACCACGCATATCCGTCACAACTCTTCCTCTTGTACTGCTAGTTTGCTCTGCTCGCTCTCTCTCGCTCCGCTAGCCTGCTATGTTGCACTCTGCTAGCTTCTCCACTGCTAGCCTTCTCACACTTAGGATTCCGCTAGCCTCTCTACCCTCACTCCTCCGACCTCGCCCGTGCCTCCAGCGGGGGATCAGCCAACACCGCTGGAGAGGACGCGGTGTGGCGAGCGGGGTCCCGGACTTCTCTTGAATTCTCTCTTGTCTTCACTCCAACCAACTCAACCCAACTGCCTCACACGTGCCCCTTGTATCCTCCTCCTCATTAAGTGCCCCCAGATGGCCCTCATTAAGCCCGCGTCCTCCCCACGCCTCACGCACTTGTTCTCCCCCTTATCGCCACTATCTCTCGCCTCCATGGCGCCTACTCCGCATTTGCAGCCAGCCAATCACTGCCTCTCTCCCTAATTGCTGACATCTCTCTGTCTGCTGTCACCCAGGCCACCCGCCGGCACCTGCTTATCCTTAGCTGACCTCACTGTCTGCAACCCCGTACATAATGCTGTTTGCAAACTGCGCGCGTTACGCCACTACATTTGCATTTGTAGAGCGTTTAAATTGCTATACGTACATTCGATTGCTGTTTCTCTTCCAATAAACAGTGGATTACCTCTTGGAGAAAACAAGGGTGATTTGGTTTGGGGTTTTTCCCCCTTGTTACTTTGAACGACTTGTAAGGATGTGGGTGAGGTTCCCTTGGTACGGGGAGGTCGCAGCGTGACACGGCACCATTCATTACTCTTGAAACGCATTTCCTCATTTGTACTGTGCGGTTCACGTTGTGCACGATCTTCAGCTGAAAAGTGTTTATGTTTTTACTTCACTTCAAATGGCACCTTTTACCCGCACAGGCTGCGTAGCAACTGCACAAAACACAGCGAAACTCCTCCTGTCTGTGAACCTCTTATACTGTAAATTCTACTATTCGCAGCCACAAATATATTCCGTGTAGAATCCCGTGAGCCTGCAGCTTGATTCTTCCTATGATCCACAGTATTCGCTTGCAATCGAAACGTTGTAATATGCTATTATTTAATTTATTATGTTATCTTTAGATGTGACTTAACCGAAAGAACCAAAGAATAATTCCTGCAGTCACGAAAGCTCCAAAATTAAGAATGTCCATGAGGTTGTGGATGAGAGAAGCTTGGTCGTTGGTCAGCAGGCCATGACACGTTCCGTTGCTCATCATGATGCTGCGGACAACCGGGGAAGAAGATTAGGTCACCCTGCGTTCAGCTGACTCACAAAAACGCCTCCTATTCGCGATTCCCCACAGATAAGATTATGGAGTGTAACTTCTGGGTAGTGGCAGAAATTATGGTCCAAAGAACCCAAAAAAATGATGATAACAATGACGTAATAATTGTGATGCCATTTATCCATGAAATGTACTGTGGTCATGAGTAGCTCGTCGCCAATATATTAGGTCCCTGGCTTCTCATGGTCACAATATCAGCACTTACGTACTCTCAACCGCACGACTGAAATTGCTCAAGTAAAGTTAAATCTGCAACTGAGAGTGAATCGCTGGTGGACCAGCTCAGGTTTCTCACATTTCAGTGAGTGAGTGTGTGAATTTAAATGCTTAAGTGAAAAGAAACTCCACTTTCTTTTTTCTGTGTTCACAGTATCCGTGGTTGCAATGCGTCTGTGCGAAACGTCATGGGGCGCACGTAAGTACTGGGCCCTGTGTTTATTCTGCGTGCACACGCACACAAAGTCGTGCCTCTCTTATTCCAGTACCGCGAAAACTACTGCACAGTATTTCATTTCTCTATGTTGACAATAGATACGGAAACAAAAAATTAGCAAGACTAAACCGACTGAATAGAAAACGTCGGGTTGGCACATTCCATTGCAGTTGATGATGGATAAAGTGAAGAGACGTCCTCCTTTGGCTGGGACAACTGAGGGCAGCCCTCGGCTGTCGTGAAGAGAAGAGGCTGTTGCCGGTGATGTCCTGAAGCAGTTGTAAAAAATCTGGACTTTGTCCCATTTTAAAGTTTGCTGGCCCCCGGGCGAATAGTGTTGGTGGCTTAACAAGAGCAACGAAGTTTTTCACGTTTAAAACATTGTACCCTCTTCTTGAACGCTCCGCCTTTCAATCTAATGGTACAGCACAGATGGGTAGATGTGCGTATGTACCTGTATGTTGAACTTCTTTTGCACCATACATAGACAACCGTGCTAATCGGAGGTGTGATAGAGGCAGTGGTAATGAATAAGTTACGAAGCTGCCTCGACTTGACTTGCTTTTAACCCTCCGTGATATTTAAGTATTATCAAGGATTAGAAAGTGTTCAATGGTGCTGCTGCTGCTTTGGCAGTAGTGCACCAGCACACAACAGAAGAAAAAACCTCACATTTGTCAATAACTCTGCTTGACACCACAATATATCATAGGCGACGTTTTGGGTAATGGCTCTTCTTCCTAGCACATACAATCACATTGTCAAGGAAGCTTAGCGTTAACCGTGCGAGCATGAATCTGCGCAACATCGTACGTTATGCCTAATGGCAGTGGCGTGTCCATCGTAGTGGCAGCATTAGGGTCAAGGCCTCCATCGAAAAACAAGGACTGACGCCTGTTGAATGCAGTGTAGAGTAGAAGCCCTCTTGACGAACACCCCTCTTAACGACTAATCGCTTAACGACGGGCCTCCATAGAGCCCAATGTGTTCGCTTACTGACCAGTGCCCTGTTAACAACGGGCTGTTGTAAGTACAGTAAATATTAATTAATGCATTGATTAACCATGTTTATTTTAATATTATGTGTGTAAAATTCTGTTAGTATCTTTATGTATTAATTTACATTGTTTAAATATTATAAGTACGTTTTTTGGGTGAAAAGGGTAACTTTCGATGCAATCGAAACGAATTAAGCCTTTAAAGTGTAATTCCTATACTTGTTTAACGGCCAAATCACTTAACAGCCGGCTTCATGGAACCAATTACCATCGTTAAGAAGGGGTCTACTGTTCAGGGAGTCATCGACTTACGAACGCCTCGACTTACGAACGGGTCGACTTACGAACAGGTCGACTTAAGAACGGGTCTCAGAAACGAACTAGGTTCGTGACCCGAGGACTGTCCGTACTGTATCTAAACCCGGTAGCAGGTTAGCGAGTATTGTAATATTTGCATGGCTCTAAAAAGAGGAATGCCACTGGTCTGGTTGTACGCAAATTGTCAGTTTTGAGTGGCTGAGAGTCACTGCACTAAGGGTGCCTTGACATTTTTCTTGATCTATGAACAGCTCAATGTGAGAGCAGCTTCCATTATTTCACAATGTATGTCTGTAAAAAAAGCCATGTTGATTTAAACACAGGTACATTACGTGCTCATGAAAGTAAACTAAACATGTTTGTGCAGATGAATCTATTTTTAAACATGAATCTGCAAACGTGAATCTATATATACATGTATCTATAAATGCGAGGCCGTAATTATAATAAATATTGGGGGGGACACATCCCTTCCAATATTCAAATATGCAAAAATGTCCCCCCCCCCCCCTCAATATATTGCTATAAAATAGATTTCTGTGTATATGATTGTGGTTATGGTTGTACTTTATAAATCCCTAATCTCTGCCATTACATACAATGAAACAAGAAAAAGTAAAAAAGAAAAAACAGAGCAATGTAATACAATATACTCTTAAACATTATTGTTAAAAATAAATTAAAAGTCAATCCTACGTGTTAGTGAATTTTTTATATTTTAGGCAGGAAATTCGTTTTCAAATTTAGATTTTTTTTTTCTGGGGGGGGGACCCCCAGACCCCCTGGAAGATTTGCCCCCCACAATGTTGGCTCCATGGATACGGCCTTGTTATAATGATTCTGCTGTATCAATGATGAGATTAGATCTCGATTGCTTTGCATGTATTGTATCGGGGCATGGAGTACTCGGTAAGTATTCATTGGGATCACTCTGAGATGGACAGGGTCATGCGCGAGACGTCATGTAAAATGGTGATGTGAAAGTCGCAGATGGACAATTAAAAATATGTCTTGAGACCCACACAACTTATTAATTTAACGTAGAAATAATTACGCGGTGTAAGTGTACACAAACAACACGCGTTAGCAGTGGGTGAGAGGTGCTGAGTGGTGGGTGAGTGATGCATTCACACTGGGAGGAGCAGCGGGTGAGTGCTGGTGAGTTGTGGTGAGTGCTGGTGTGTGGTGGTGTGTGATGGTGGTGAGTGGTGGTGGGTCAGTGGTGGTGTATGGTGGTGTGTGGTGGTGGTGAGTGGTGGTGAGTGGTGGTGTGCGAGTGCTGGTGAGTTGTGGGTGAGTGGTGGTGTGTGATGGTGGGTGAGTGCTGGTGTGTGGTGGTGTGTGATGGTGGTGAGTGGTGGTGGGTCAGTGGTGGTGTATGGTGGTGGGTGGTGGTGGTGAGTGGTGGTGAGTGGTGGTGTGCGAGTGCTGGTGAGTTGTGGGTGAGTGGTGGTGTGTGATGGTGGGTGAGTGCTGGTGTGTGGTGGTGTGTGATGGTGGTGAGTGGTGGTGGGTCAGTGGTGGTGTATGGTGGTGGGTGGTGGTGGTGAGTGGTGGTGAGTGGTGGTGTGCGAGTGCTGGTGAGTTGTGGGTGAGTGGTGGTGTGTGATGGTGGGTGAGTGCTGGTGAGTGGTGGTGTGTGATGGTGGTGAGTGGTGGTGGGTGAGTGCTGGTGAGTGGTGGTGTGTGGTGGTGTGTGATGGTGGGTGAACGCTGGTGAGTGCTGGTGAGTGGTGGTGTGTGGTGGTGTGTGATGGTGGGTGAGCGCTGGTGAGTGCTGGTGAGTGGTGGTGTGTGATGGTGGGTGGTGGTGGGTGAGTGCTGGTGATGGGGAGCGGTAGTGTAGTGGTTAGTGCGCTGCACTACGACCCCGGCACTCCGAGTTCGATTCCCGCTCACGGCCAACACCAGTAACGATTATCTGAACCGGTCTTGGGCCTCCCCTAGGTCGACTCAGCCTCAAATGAGTACCTGGTGCTGTGTGTAAAACCATCGCCGCCACTGGGGAGACAAAGGCGGCCGGGCGTGGTGCTGTTCACCCACCCTCTCTTGTGCTGTGCCGGCCTTCATAGGCGCTCACTAACAGCACTTGCCCCAACAGTCTGTAAAGGATACAGGGGGGTCTTTGTCTTTGTGGTGGCGAGTGGTAGGTGGTGTGCGTGATCGACGTGGTGAGATCGCTGCAGGCAGAGAGCTTCCTCCTCCCGTCAAGTCCTGTGTGCTGCCCCGTGTTTTGTTTCTTGTTGTTCGCCCGCAGGTTGAGTGCGTGAAGAGTTGTTTGAGAATGGGCACGTGGAGGTGGCGTTGTCTCCTGTGGGCCCTGACCGCGGTGTTGACCCTCGCACTCACCGGCTGCGTCGTGGCCCTAATGCTGCCGCCACGGGCAACAGGTTCGCCAAAAACCGTGTCGCCTCCCACCACCTTTGTCCTTTGTCAGTCTTCGTGTCGGTCGTGAGGGACATTTGAGCGCACTTGGCCACGCTCGTCAATGCCGGGGTTGGTTGGTTGGCGGAGTACCCTGCGCCACTTCAGTTATCGCTCGCCACTGAGATCCGTCGTGACATTTGCAAAATGACGCCAAAACCCATAGCAAGAGAAAAATAAATAGATTTAACAATACGCAAGGATGTGCATTGTGTGGACAAAAGCTTTCGGGCCTTATCCAGACCAGCAGCTCAAAAATAACTGCATGTGTGGAGAATTTGTACATTTAGACCGCCAACTCAAAAGAGTTCAGAAAATATGGCCGTCCCACCAGGCAGAAGTTAAACACAAACTGAACTGCAGACCAGTTTTTGTGATTATTACGACTCATCAGTAGTCACCCCCTGCTGCCCTATGCCTCTGGGATCCTCCTAAGGAGAGGGCGTGTACCTTTACACTGGGGACACCAATGGCTTAAGCATCAATCAGTCAAATCTGTAACTGAGAAAACTCATGGAGAAGAGTTAGGAGACTCGGCGAGGCTTTCCTGGGAAAACAAGCGTAATAATAAGAGATATTCACAGGGACAATTTTTATATATATATTAAAAGTTTTTGTTCACAGACTCCGCATACACTCAGGTGTCGGCCGTATGAGCCAGTAACTGAGTCCACCAAGTAATGCGCCGGCCGTATGAACACTCCCTGGGAACACGATGGCAAGACTTGTGAAGGATGAGGTTCTGGTTGGACTGCTCAGGCACGGCAGCAGTGCGCTCATCGTGATCACACGTTGGACACGCGTAGGTGTCACGTTCCCAGTAGCGGGAGGGAAGTGGTGTATCATGGTGTGTTTCAGTTCCTCAAAATTAATTATTGCTGGCTCTTTCAGAATTGTAACTGGCATTATTACGACTAGGATAAACGTGTAAAAAAAAACTACCTCATGCAAATGTAAGCGATTCTTGACGTGGAAATTTTGATTACTTAACGAAACCCCCAACAGACGGATCACATGAAACGTTACCGTCATTGTTTTTATATATATATATAAAAAAAATTATATACATTTTTTTTATGAACATTACTCACCTTAGTCCTGTAACCGACCGATTGGTGAACGAACAGTCTGCGCAGCAGAATTTAATGTAATTAAACTCGATTTGAAGCTTTCGTGACTGCAGGAATTACTCTTTGGTTCTTTCGGTAAAGTCACGTAGAAAGAAAATAAATGTAATAATAGAGTACGACGTTTCGATTGCAAAACAAGCAACCGTCATCAGGTAGAACTAAATTTGAGAGAGACAAAACACAGACACGGAGACATTCAGACAGACACACAAGCAGAGAGAGAGACAACACAGAGAGAGACACACAACATAGACACACAGATACCCAATGCTTCTGTGTCGAGGCCTTAAATAGAGATAGGGGGGAGGGGGCAGAGAGAGAGGTTGGTCTGCTGGAGCAGCTGCTGGAGCAGAGAAATGAGCATGTCAATGAATCCACCCCGAAGCGACCGAGGGAAAGAAGATCGAATAGCCCTATAAGAGCCTGGTACATTTTATAGAGAGAAATAGTTTGAGAAAACAAAATTTAGCTAATATTTTGGAAATGTAATGTAATGCAACACAGAGAGAAGATATGGCTATGCGTTAACTGTGTGTTAGCCGACTCTCTGTGTTGCATTACATTACATTTCCAAAAATTGGCTAAGTTTTTTTCTCAAACTATTTCTCTCTAAAAATGTACCAGGCTCTCATAGGGACATTCGATCTTTTCTCTCTGCTTGTGTGTCTGTCTGTGTGTCTCCGTGTCTGTGTTTTGTCTCTCTCTGAAATGTAGTTCTACCTGATGACAGTTGCTTGTGTTGCAATCGAAACGTTGTACTCTATGATTTAATTTATTTTCTTTCTGCGTGACTTTACCAAAAGAACCACAGAGTCATTTAACGTAATTGGCCAAACGTCTTTTTTGTTTTGTCAACAATCGTGAGGTGTTTTTATTTTCCCCACAAGCAGACGTCACTGCCTTGATGGTTCGGGTTGTATTCGCAGCTGTAGCTATGAAATGTGTTTGATTGGTGGTAAAGTGCCATACATTATATACCATACAGCAATGTATAAACTATGTATGCAGGTGCACGTAGAATATTTATATTTATATGAATGTGCTCATGGGTTCCTAATGCTTTTACAGTTATTTGGCAATCACGTTTTTATTTCATATCTGGCCTTATCTTTCACAGCCTTTGCTTGCTTTCTTCTCTTCTGCTTTGTCCTGCACTTTCAGTACCCTGCCCATTACGATGCAAGCAACGTTATTGTTCAAAGCGGTGAGACGCATTTACTACGTCTGCGTTCTCCCACCGCGCGGAGAAGATTTGGAGTTTGGCCATCGACCTTTTGCCCCCGCCTGTTTTTATCGGCACGCGGCCTCTCGTTGGCAGTGCCGAAGCTTTACTCGGATCGCAGCTGCCTGTGACCACTTCCTGCTGCTTCGAGCGTGACAAGGAGAGGGACATTGTTGACAGTCCGCGCGCTTTGTCCGCGAGAAGGAAGTTCACGGGACATTTTTTTGGCAGAAGAACAGGAAGAGGGGGGTTAGCTGTTGACGGTCGCTTGTGTTGCGATCGAAACGTCATAGTTTTTTGTTATTTTTTTTTAACCTATCAACGTGACTTTACCGAAAGACTTCAAGGAATATGAATTCCTGCAGTCACGAAAGCTTTAAGTCAAGATTATATGTATTTTCTTTGAAACTGATTGGTCCACATCAGAGACAGCTTTCTTTAGATCCTATTCTCACACAGTGTTAGACCAGAGGACGCCAAAACGTGAACAGCACAAAGACAATGTACTATCAGGACATTGAGAGCTCGGGGTGAGCAGCTACATCATGGGACGGCATGTTTTTTTTTATGTTAATGTTCGCCATAAGTATATATGTGGTTAATGCAGACATGATTCCCTGCAAACGTTTTCTGTTCGGTGTTTTAACATCCTAACACAGCTGTTTTATTGCCAGAAAGGGTCAAACTTATCCTTAAGTCGCTTCTCTCAGCCGTATCACGAGGGACGAGTGTGACGCGCGGCGCTGCCCCTTGGGTTTCTTTCGTGTCCACAGCTGGAGACGTACAGAAGTGGCGCACGTGCACGACGAGCCACTGCGTGCAGGCCGTGAGCGCCATGTGGGAGGCTCTGAACTCGTCGGGCGACCCCTGCGAGGACTTCTACGGCTTCAGCTGTGGCCGATGGCTCCAGGGGAGCGAGCAGCCCACGGGGAAACCTCACCGGGGAACCTTGGCAGGAGCTCGACAAAAATAACCAGATAGCCATGCACAGATTTCTGGGTAATAGCCGTTGCCCCCCCCCCCCCACGCCCCCACCCCCGTGCAAATGCGTTAGTCGATGACTGAAAGCCATCGCTCTCTATGTGATAATGAAAAGTTAATCTTCAAACAAGTCAGAAATAATGTGCGATTGTCAGATCAGGATCGTAGGTGGCACACAATGCACTTGAGTTGCCTGATTACGCTGCAAGGGCAGGATATCCGAAAATTTGTTAACTTTTCAAAATATAACCATAAAAACGATGTGCAACCCAATCACGTGGATTATGTTGAATCGTACAGCCAGGCTCACGCAGTAATATCACTCGGGTCATGTGTTCCCAAGTTGATGTCAGTGCTGTGTGTGTGACGACTTTGTTCAGAAAACGCTACGATCAAGGAGACCGACGCGGAGAGAAAAGTCCAGCGGTTTTACCTCTCATGCCTGAACAGCAGCAGCAGCAGCAGAACTCTGCTTGGGAGCCGATCACTCAACGGCATCATCAGCCAGGTAGCGGGGCGCTGTCGTGCGAAGCGAGGCGTCCGCGGCACCACTCTGAGCCTCACTTCGATGAGAGCGGATTTCAGGCAGGAGTGGGGGCGCCTTCGCTGCGCTGCGAAACACCTTCTGCGAGATGTGTTCAAACCAAATCTCCAATCGAGTTTTATATGAGGCCACTGTGGATTGCTTTTCAAATACAAAGGTGTGACCTCCCCCTACTCGTAGCGATTTAGAGTACGTATTTTGTTGCACCGTACACTTTGAAAAGTGTCGAGTTTCACATGCGAAGCAAACGAAATAGAAAAAAATTAACTCGTTGCGCCGCCGCAAGCCACCGAAATTTGATTCCCAGAGGAGCCCTCGCGAATCCTGTGGTGCGGTCTGGCCGCCGGGTTGCTGGAAGCGCGAGCACGCACTGGTGCTGCCTGTGTGTGTTCTGCCAGCTGGGCGGGTGGCACGGCGGGCTCCCCACCACCACCACCACCGGCGCCACCACTGGCGACGCTGAGCTGCAGCAGCTACTGCAGCTCCTCGGCAGGAACTTCTCCCTCGGAGCGTTCTTCAAGCTGGGCGTCGGCTCCCTGCCGTTCGACTCCAAGCAGAGAGCCCTCAGGGTGAGCACTCGCCTCACGCGACACCCACAATGCGTGCCATGAAACCCGTCGGTGAACGTCTCTCTCACGTGTGGTGCGGTGTCGGTGAACGTCTCTCTCCCCCGTGTGGTGCGGTGTCGGTGAACGTCTCTCTCACGTGTGGTGCGGTGTTGGTGAACGTCTCTCTCACGTGTGGTGCGGTGTTGGTGAACGTCTCTCTCTCCCGTGTGGTGCGGTGTTGGTGAACGTCTCTCCCCCGTGTGGTGCGGTGTCGGTGAACGTCTCTCCCCCGTGTGGTGCGGTGTTGGTGAACGTCTCTCTCTCCCGTGTGGTGCGGTGTCGGTGAACGTCTCTCTCCCGTGTGGTGCGGTGTCGGTGAACGTCTCTCTCCCCCATGTGGTGCGGTGTCGGTGAACGTCTCTCTCCCGTGTGGTGCGGTGTCGGTGAACGTCTCTCTCCCCCATGTGGTGCGGTGTCGGTGAACGTCTCTCTCTCCCATGTGGTGCGGTGTCGGTGAACGTCTCTCTCTCCCGTGTGGTGCGGTGTCGGTGAACGTCTCTCTCCCCCGTGTGGTGCGGTGTCGGTGAACGTCTCTCTCTCCCGTGTGGTGCGGTGTCGGTGAACGTCTCTCTCTCCCGTGTGGTGCGGTGTTGGTGAACGTCTCTCTCACGTGTGGTGCGGTGTCGGTGAACGTCTCTCTCCCCTGTGTGATACGGTGTCCGTGAACGTATCTCTCCCGAGCGTTGCAGTGTCGGTGAACATCTCCCATGTGGTGTGGTGTCGGTGAACGTCTGCCATGTGATTAAGTGTCGGTGAACGTCTCTCTCCCATGCGGTGCAGTGTCGGTGAACATTTCCCGTGCAGTGTGGTGTCAGTGAACGTCTCTCTCCCATGCGGTGCAGTGTCCCTGCCAGCCGACAGTTTAAGCAGAATATTTCAGCAAGTAACACCTCTACACACAGTGCAGGTACATACTTGTAAGAGCGATAATTCTCAAATGTTCGATTGCGACCATAGCTTTGGTCCTTCAATCACGTCACGTGACATCACCTCGGACGTCACCTGACACCACCATGTTGCATATGTAGTGTAATAGCGCCGGCTGGTGGACAGCAGCGGCAACTGCGGTGGACAGACAGCACACGCCGGTGAGCGTGAGCACGGCTGTGTTGGCAGAGCGGAGGAACGAGGGTAAGGGTCACGGAGGACCCCATCTGGAGGCTCCTGGAACCTGCTGGTGGGTTCTAGAAGGGAGGCGCGGTCAGGGCGGAGCCAGGCCGTGCTGGGAGCATGAAAGGGCCTGAGAGCGGGGGGCTCGAGGCTGCCGGTTCTGGGAGTGGACTCGTCTCGTCGTTGCTGTCATCTCGTCGCCGTCATCGCTAAACGTCTCCGCTAGATATCACGTTAGGAAGGACAGTAGTTGGCTATCTCAGTCAATGCCGTCAGTCTTAGACGGATAGTGTTGTGTACAGGCTAGGCTGAGCTCCTAAAGAAAGTGCCTCCTAGAAACTTGGTCTCTGAATCGTTGACACTACACATGTAAGCCTTGTTTTAGACTGCCCAGATGCACCCAGTATGGTGTTGTCATGTGACATGTATGACATGATGGGAGGAGAGATTATACGTTTAGGATTATTACGGTTTATTTTTCCGGCCCGTGTGCACATCTCTGTCTGCTGGGTATCACAACATGTTCAGAATGTGTGGGAATTGGCTTACTTACACACACTTGTGTTTATTAACCTTGCAGGCACAGCTTTGTGGAATGTATTCCCATTTTCTTCACTCTGACTTTCACGACCCCATGGCTCGCATGGAGTATTTGCCCGTTACCCTCTGCATATCGGGGAGGGCACAGTGCTTAGCCACTTCAGAGGGCTCTACCCATAATGCTGATATCCAAGCCCTGACCTGAACGTCAAATCGTTTTGCACACTTCATCGTAATTTTATGATTGTGTGTAAAATAAAAGCACACAAATGCGTACACATGCGTTTTTTTGTAAGATACAGAGGCGTGGCGTGACACACATCTTATCGACCGTGCTGACGCCGCGTGCCGACTAGTGGTGGCTACGCACGCGGCGTGTGGTCATACAGCCCTGTGGAGGCACCGGCGAGGGTTGGTGGATCACCACACAAACGTTGCGAAACTCCCTTCCTGTGGGCACTGAGGAGGAACCGTACCCCGCCTCGTCAGGAGATGGCGGTACAGCTAAAATGTGGACTCCACCTGTTCCATCTTTATGGGATAGAGTGTTTCCCCCTCGCACACGTGAGTTTTCTCCGGGTGCTCCGGTTTCCTCCCACATGTAAACACTCGTTAATTGGCCGATGACACCTGAATATATAGAGGAGCGCAGAGCTTGGGCAGTTGTTGGCTCCGTCTCGTCGCGTGGCCGCCCTCCCGCTTGTCCGTGGCCACTCGCCCCTCTGAGTCGTCCTCTGTCTACGGCAGCGAGCGACTTGCCATGCGCGTTACGAGTTGAAATAATTAATATAATTAATATAGATTAATTGTAATTTTTACCATCCGTGGCGTAATCATCGTTATCTGGTTCCACTGTGGGAGGAAAACATTGCCGGCCTTGCTGACTCATCATGTACGGCCCTTACGCGCGCCCGTGCGTGCGTGCGCATTTGCCATTGGCCCTGTGAGTTTTTTCATTGGAAGAGTTGCTCACGGCACAGCAGATTAGCGTCATTAAACACGTGGTATATAAAGGGTTTTACCCTTTCTGGAAATAAAACAAGTGATAACATTTTGAAACGCCAAATATAAATATATCTTTGCAAGGAATCAAGTCTGCATTAGCCACACGTACTTGTGGCAAAAACATGCATAAATAATTATCATAGCATGATTTGTTTGCATATTTTACCACAAGCATGCGTGGTTAATGCTGACTCGATGCCTTGTGATGGGTGTCTATTTGATGTCTTAACACCTCCTGTAGTCTTGGCGGAAAGGGTAAAGCCTAAAATGTTACCTTGTTTGAGCAATTTAACACGTATAAAGACTTTTGCGACCAATATTATTCATAATAGAGGTTTTTGGGTTAGATCGCGTGAATTTTATTTGAACAAGATAACATTGTATTCAGGGTCCAGGGACCACCCATTGCGTCGGTAGATTAAATTACGTTAGCGTCTTCATGAAGTTCCGTGGACAAATGTAAACTTCACCAAGAAATCACATGAATAATAATAGAGCGTAATAAAATATGTTATGGGTCTCATTTGACACCTGCAGTAGCTCCGGAAAAGCATTTCACTTTCAGATAGAATTGGTGTAGCGCTTGTAATGTTCATAATTTCAACTCGTAATGTGCACGGTAGTCGCTCACTCTAGTAGAGAACGATTCGAAAGGTGCGAGGAGGAACCACAAACGAACGGGAGGGCAGCCACAACAATTGCCCAAGCTCTGCGCTCCTCTATATATATTTGAAGGCGTTAACGGCCAATTAATGCGTGTTTACATGTGAGAGGAAACCGGAGAATCCGGAGAAACACGCTATTTCGTACAGACAGAGCAAGTGGAGTCCACATCTTGTGCTGTACTGCCGTCTACTGGTAAGCCAGAGTACGGCACCTCCTCGACGCCTACGGGAAAGGAGTTTCGCAACATTTGTGTGATCCGTCAACCCTCACTGCCTCCAGAGTGTTGGATTACAGGCCGCGTGCACAGCCATCACCACTGCCCAGCTAAACACGTGACATGTTTTGACGAGCCGGAGTGATTATTTATGGCAGTACAGCTGACGATCTTTTTTTTTGCAATTTCCATTCACAGCTTTCAGTTCCAGACCTGGGCCTGCCATCTCCTGACTATTACCTTAACACGACGGCAGATGATAAGGTACATCTGCGCACATTTCAGGGAATTAGTATTAAAGCTCAGATTTACACGAAGCTCTTGAACATACATACATGCGAACATACACACCTCCGATTAGCACTGTCGGCTACGTTTGTTGCGAAAAAAGTTTAACATGCATACGTACAAAATGTGACTACACTCACACCTACTGAAACATGGCGCTTAGAACTGTGTTTGCAATGAGATTATCTCGTGGCAAGTAGAAATGTGCTTACACAATGTGCGTACACAATCCGGACGAGGTTTGTGTTGTCGCAATGGCTGATCATCTGTTTAATGCAGATCGTGGTAAATAACTTAAACATGGATTGTTATTTTCATAAAATACGGGTTCTGTCTCTCCTCTGAGGGTATTTTCAAACGGATGGTTTTGAATCATCACGGCTAATTGCTTGTCAACATGAAGTACACGAGGCAAAGGTTTCATCTGCTATTCACGAGGGTCTCTTCATGCCTAAGAGCCTTCTTGTGCAAAATAAATATTTGATCATCGTGATCAAGTATTTATCACGCGACGCAGACATTTTAATTGATTCTAGTGTTGTGGTCTTTTTTTACCCTCTCAATTGCATTGAGGTACAACAATGATTCAGGCCTCTATCCATTTCAATTCGCGTTTCATTAATTCCCCAAGTGTCCTGATTAAACATACAGGCAGCCATGAACTTGGTGCTATGCCGCACATAGCACAGTGTGCAAATCAGCGGCCGAATTTATTCCGTTCCCTCGCAGAAGGTCGAGCAAAACGTCAGACATCGTGCCAAACAAAATGTAAATACCATCGAAGGGCGGTATGGCAGCACAACCGCGAATACTCACTGTGTAACAAGACACAAACACTGCCTGGGCACGGCATTGTGGGCAACAAGGCATGCTGTGCCTGTGGTCTGGGTGAAGGGGAATGCTGTGCCTGTGGTCTGGGTGAAGGGGAATGCTGTGTCTGTGGTCTGGGTGAAGGGGAATGCTGTGCCTGTGGTCTGGGTGAAGGGGAATGCTGTGCCTGTGGTCTAGGTGAAGGGGAATGCTGTGCCTGTGCTCTGGGTGAAGGGAAATGCTGTGCCTGTGGTCTGGGTGAAGGGGATGCTGTGCCTGTGGTCTAGGTGAAGGGGAATGCTGTGCCTGTGCTCTGGGTGAAGGGGAATGCTGTGCCTGTGGTCTGGGTGAAGGGGAATGCTGTGCCTGTGGTCTGGGTGAAGGGGATGCTGTGCCTGTGGTCTAGGTGAAGGGGAATGCTGTGCCTGTGCTCTGGGTGAAGGGGAATGCTGTGCCTGTGGTCTGGGTGAAAGGGAATGCTGTGCCTGTGGTCTGGGTGAAGGGGAATGCTGTGCCTGTGCTCTGGGTGAAGAGTAATGCTGTGCCTGTGGTCTGGGTGAAGGGGAATGCTGTGCCTGTGCTCTGGGTGAAGGGAAATGCTGTGCCTGTGCTCTGGGTGAAGGGAAATGCTGTGCCTGTGCTCTGGGTGAAGGGGAATGCTGTGCCTGTGCTCTGGGTGAAGGGAAATGCTGTGCCTGTGCTCTGGGTGAAGAGGAATGCTGTGCCTGTGGTCTGGGTGAAGGGGAATGCTGTGCCTGTGGTCTGGGTGAAGGGGAATGCTGTGCCTGTGGTCTGGGTGAAGGGAAATGCTGTGCCTGTGCTCTGGGTGAAGAGGAATGCTGTGCCTGTGGTCTGGGTGAAGGGGAATGCTGTACCTGTGGTCTGGGTGAAGGGGAATGCTGTGCCTGTGGTCTGGGTGAAGGGGAATGCTGTGCCTGTGCTCTGGGTGAAGGGAAATGCTGTGCCTGTGCTCTGGGTGAAGGGAAATGCTGTGCCTGTGCTCTGGGTGAAGGGGAATGCTGTGCCTGTGCTCTGGGTGAAGGGAAATGCTGTGCCTGTGCTCTGGGTGAAGGGGAACGCTGTGCCTGTGGTCTGGGTGAAGGGGAATGCTGTGCCTGTGGTCTGGGTGAAGGGGAATGCTGTGCCTGTGGTCTGGGTGAAGGGGAACGCTGTGCCTGTGGTCTGGGTGAAGGGAAATGCTGTGCCTGTGGTCTGGGTGAAGGGGAATGCTGTGCCTGTGGTCTGGGTGAAGGGAAATGCTGTGCCTGTGCTCTGGGTGAAGAGGAATGCTGTGCCTGTGGTCTAGGTGAAGGGGAATGCTGTGCCTGTGGTCTGGGTGAAGGGGAATGCTGTGCCTGTGGTCTGGGTGAAGGGGAATGCTGTGCCTGTGGTCTGGGTGAAGGGGAATGCTGTGCCTGTGCTCTGGGTGAAGAGGAATGCTGTGCCTGTGGTCTGGGTGAAGGGGAATGCTGTGCCTGTGGTCTGGGTGAAGGGAAATGCTGTGCCTGTGCTCTGGGTGAAGGGGAATGCTGTGCCTGTGCTCTGGGTGAAGGGAAATGCTGTGCCTGTGCTCTGGGTGAAGGGGAATGCTGTGCCTGTGGTCTGGGTGAAGGGGATGCTGTGCCTGTGGTCTAGGTGAAGGGGAATGCTGTGCCTGTGGTCTGGGTGAAGAGGAATGCTGTGCCTGTGGTCTGGGTGAAGGGGAATGCTGTGCCTGTGGTCTGGGTGAAGGGGAACGCTGTGCCTGTGGTCTGGGTGAAGGGGAATGCTGTGCCTGTGGTCTGGGTGAAGGGGAATGCTGTGCCTGTGGTCTGGGTGAAGGGGAACGCTGTGCCTGTGGTCTGGGTGAAGGGAAATGCTGTGCCTGTGCTCTGGGTGAAGGGGAATGCTGTGCCTGTGGTCTGGGTGAAGGGAAATGCTGTGCCTGTGCTCTGGGTGAAGAGGAATGCTGTGCCTGTGGTCTAGGTGAAGGGGAATGCTGTGCCTGTGGTCTGGGTGAAGGGGAATGCTGTGCCTGTGGTCTGGGTGAAGGGGAATGCTGTGCCTGTGGTCTGGGTGAAGGGGAATGCTGTGCCTGTGGTCTGGGTGAAGGGGAACGCTGTGCCTGTGGTCTGGGTGAAGGGGAATGCTGTGCCTGTGGTCTGGGTGAAGGGGAATGCTGTGTCTGTGGTCTGGGTGAAGGGGAATGCTGTGCCTGTGGTCTGGGTGAAGGGGAATGCTGTGCCTGTGGTCTGGGTGAAGGGGAATGCTGTGCCTGTGGTCTGGGTGAAGGGGAATGCTGTGCCTGTGGTCTGGGTGAAGGGGAATGCTGTGCCTGTGGTCTGGGTGAAGGGGAACGCTGTGCCTGTGGTCTGGGTGAAGGGGAATGCTGTGTCTGTGGTCTGGGTGAAGGGGAATGCTGTGCCTGTGGTCTGGGTGAAGGGGAATGCTGTGCCTGTGGTCTGGGTGAAGGGGATGCTGTGCCTGTGGTCAGGGTGAAGGGGAATGCTGTGCCTGTGGTCTGGGTGAAGGGGATGCTGTGCCTGTGCTCTGGGTGAAGGGGAATGCTGTGCCTGTGCTCTGGGTGAAGGGGATGCTGTGCCTGTGGTCTGGGTGAAGGGGAATGCTGTGCCTGTGGTCTAGGTGAAGGGGAATGCTGTGCCTGTGGTCTGGGTGAAGGGGAATGCTGTGCCTGTGCTCTGGGTGAAGGGGAATGCTGTGCCTGTGGTCTGGGTGAAGGGGATGCTGTGCCTGTGATCTGGGTGAAGGGGAATGCTGTGCCTGTGGTCTGGGTGAAGGGGATGCTGTGCCTGTGCTCTGGGTGAAGGGGATGCTGTGCCTGTGGTCTGGGTGAAGGGGATGCTGTGCCTGTGGTCTGGGTGAAGGGGAATGCTGTGCCTGTGGTCTGGGTGAAGGGGAATGCTGTGTCTGTGGTCTGGGTGAAGGGGATGCTGTGCCTGTGCTCTGGGTGAAGGGGATGCTGTGCCTGTGCTCTAGGTGAAGGGGATGCTGTGCCTGTGCTCTGGGTGAAGGGGAATGCTGTGCCTGTGGTCTGGGTGAAGGGGAACGCTGTGCCTGTGGTCTGGGTGAAGGGGAACGCTGTGCCTGTGGTCTGGGTGAAGGGGAATGCTGTGCCTGTGCTCTGGGTGAAGGGGATGCTGTGCCTGTGGTCTGGGTGAAGGGGATGCTGTGCCTGTGGTCTGGGTGAAGGGGAATGCTGCGCCTGTGGTCTGGGTGAAGGGGATGCTGTGCCTGTGGTCTGGGTGAAGGGGAATGCTGTGCCTGTGGTCTGGGTGAAGGGGAATGCTGTGCCTGTGGTCTGGGTGAAGGGGAATGCTGTGCCTGTGGTCTGGGTGAAGGGGAATGCTGTGCCTGTGGTCTGGGTGAAGGGGAATGCTGTGCCTGTGGTCTGGGTGAAGGGGAACGCTGTGCCTGTGGTCTGGGTGAAGGGGAATGCTGTGCCTGTGGTCTGGGTGAAGGGGAATGCTGTGCCTGTGGTCTGGGTGAAGGGGAATGCTGTGCCTGTGGTCTGGGTGAAGGGGAATGCTGTGCCTGTGGTCTGGGTGAAGGGGAATGCTGTGCCTGTGGTCTGGGTGAAGGGGAGTGCTGTGCCTGTGGTCTGGGTGAAGGGGAATGCTGTGCCTGTGGTCTGGGTGAAGGGGAATGCTGTGCCTGTGGTCTGGGTGAAGGGGATGCTGTGCCTGTGGTCAGGGTGAAGGGGAATGCTGTGCCTGTGGTCTGGGTGAAGGGGATGCTGTGCCTGTGGTCTGGGTGAAGGGGATGCTGTGCCTGTGGTCTGGGTGAAGGGGAATGCTGTGCCTGTGGTCTGGGTGAAGGGGATGCTGTGCCTGTGCTCTGGGTGAAGGGGATGCTGTGCCTGTGGTCTGGGTGAAGGGGATGCTGTGCCTGTGGTCTGGGTGAAGGGGAATGCTGTGCCTGTGGTCTGGGTGAAGGGGAATGCTGTGTCTGTGGTCTGGGTGAAGGGGATGCTGTGCCTGTGCTCTGGGTGAAGGGGATGCTGTGCCTGTGCTCTAGGTGAAGGGGATGCTGTGCCTGTGCTCTGGGTGAAGGGGAATGCTGTGCCTGTGGTCTGGGTGAAGGGGAACGCTGTGCCTGTGGTCTGGGTGAAGGGGAATGCTGTGCCTGTGCTCTGGGTGAAGGGGATGCTGTGCCTGTGGTCTGGGTGAAGGGGATGCTGTGCCTGTGGTCTGGGTGAAGGGGAACGCTGTGCCTGTGGTCTGGGTGAAGGGGAACGCTGTGCCTGTGGTCTGGGTGAAGGGGAATGCTGTGCCTGTGCTCTGGGTGAAGGGGAATGCTGTGCCTGTGGTCTGGGTGAAGGGGATGCTGTGCCTGTGGTCTGGGTGAAGGGGATGCTGTGCCTGTGGTCTGGGTGAAGGGAATGCTGTGTCTGTGGTCTGGGTGAAGGGGATGCTGTGCCTGTGGTCTGGGTGAAGGGGAATGTTGTGCCTGTGCTCTGGGTGAAGGGGATGCTGTGCCTGTGGTCTGGGTGAAGGGGAACGCTGTGTCTGTGCTCTAGTTGAAGGGGAATGCTGTGCTCTAGGTGAAGGGGAACGCTTTGCCTGTGCTCTAGGTGAAGCGGAATGCTGTGTCAGTGGTCTGTCTGACTGACAAGTTGTCACAGGTGCTCACCGCCTACCTGGACTTCATGGTCAGGATCCGACAGCTGCTGGGCGGTGCGGACGAGCGGGCCGCGTCGTCCGACATGCGCCTCGTGCTGCAGCTCGAGTCGAGGCTCGCTGGGATCATGGCTCTGACAGGCAGCAGCAGGAATCCCGGATTCATCACGTTCAGGGACCTGCAGGTACACACCCTGCCCCTCTGAACAGTGAAGGACCAATCCGCAATGCACGACTACACAGCAACATGAACACATTTTGCTCGGTTTTTTTTTTTACTGGAGGTATATCACACCTAATTTGCTAGGAAAATGAAATCTACCGCGTGGTTGGCTGAGGCCACCAAGGATCTCGCATTGATTGATGGATTGAGTAAGGGCATTTTGGTGGCGAGATTTTATCTCCCTCGCCTAGTATGCGTGGATTTTTCTCCAGATCCTCCGTTTTTTCCCCTCCACATTTAGACTCAATGTGCGTTTACAGTATTTGCCTGCTATACATTTTCCACATCATTAGCCACTTTGTTGAGTTATTGTTTGTGGCCAGGTCACTTCTGAAAAAGAGCAAAATAGCTCAGTGGGCCTTACTTGGAGAACATGCAAACTCCCAATATACAGCAGCAGGCGTCGTCAGGGTCAGGATTGAACCCACGACCTCCTGTATACCGGGCGAGGTAGTTAACATCTCCTAGCCACCGTGATGATGATAATGATAGAGACACGCAAACTCAAAATATACAGCAGGTTTTGTCAGGGTCGGGATTGAACCCACGACCTCCTGTATACCGGGCGAGGTAGTTAACATCTCCTAGCCACCGTGATGATGATAATGATAGAGACACGCAAACTCCAAATATACAGCAGGCATCGTCAGGGTCGGGATTGAACCCACGACCTCCTGTATACCGGGCGAGGTAGTTAACATCTCCTAGCCACCGTGATGATGATAATGATAGAGACACGCAAACTCCAAATATACAGCAGCAGGTGTCGTCAGGGTCGGGATTGAACCCACGACCTCCTGTATACCGGGCGAGGTAGTTAACATCTCCTAGCCACCGTGGCACCATCTATTGGCTTTGGAAACGGATTGGCATTGCCATTATCCTACAGCCCAGTTGAATGCACCTTTCACATGAGGGTGAGCACTTGAGTGCGCACAGTGGATTGCATTTGTGAGCAATGTCCCGCGGTTTTATAGTCTGCTTCAAACAAACAGCTGTGATGCCCTGTAACATTCCGCAGCAGTCAATAACGCTCACCCTCGTGCGGTGTGGCTCACTGTGGCTCACTATGGTTCACTGTGGCTCACTGTGACTCACTGGACAATGCAATGGCTGTCAGCCTGCCCAGCCAGTTCTGACAACAAGCATCATCACAGGACCCCTTCACAAAGCACCACAAACCCCCGACGCTTCCACTCACCCCAGTCCCAAGCTTCAAATATTATGGAAATTTGTTCCCAAGTAATGCATCGTCATGGACACGTGTCAATGTGGTCATCTGTCAAAAAGAGCTTCACAGCTCATCGGATTCCTCCAGGATAAATACAGATCATGAAAGTCAATACATCGGGAAGATTACTTGCTTTTGGTCACATTTGTATTGTGGAGGGTAGAACTTGAGCTTTTACAGTCCATGTGATAGATACAAAGTATACAAATCGTGTGCCACACACACACACACATTCCGTTTACTCTAAGCAATAGATGTCTTGGTAAAGTTTGAACAAAAGTGATCATGTTGTAGTTTAATATGCTTGTTGTTTTTTTCATTTTATTTTTCCTTCCCCCTTAAGGATATGTTACCATTACTGGACTGGGCCCAGTATTTCCGTGAGGTGTTCTACCCACTGGCTCCGTACGGTCAAAGAACCGTGGTGATCGATAACAAGGAGTACTTCCACGGCGCGTTTCACGTCGTCAACAACACAGACAGAAGGTGAGCCTCCCCAGCAGGGCCACGCGGTGTCGGACTGTAAAGGTAGCACCGATATGAGTGTCACGTATCACTTGTGCGTTTGCGTCGTGCAGTAATTCCTTCCCCTTAAGAGCAAGTTTCAGCCCAGAAGCAAAACGCGTGTGTGGTGAAGTGTTTTCACCGCACAAACCAAGAAGTTCCCTGGGTTTGATCTTCCACGAAGCTCATGGTCCACCCTAAACCGCTGATGCGGATACCTGACGCACAAATGGAAAAACTTTCTAGTGTGCGACTGAGGTTATCCAGAAAAAATCGTAAAACGTATAATGGCGCAATGCCCCGAACCACAAATACGAAGGAGACAATTATATTTGATATCGAGTTTATTTATTAATGTGTAACACTTGCTGACGTGTCTGCTGGCCGAGCACCGTTGAAAGAGAGCCGCATGCCTCTGTGGGTTATTTACTCCGAGAACAAACTCCTGATCCTGATTCTGAAATTAACTTCGTAGAGCGTGCGGTCAGCTTGGCAGCGCTTGGTGCTGACGTTGTACGGTCAACAGAAGCGCACCTGACACGCGACACACACACGTGTTCATGTGTCTGTGTGTTGGCAGTGCAGCGGTTAGCGCGCTGTGCCACGAACCTGACGACAAGAGTTCGATTCCCGCTCACGGCCAACACCGGTGACGATTATCTGAACTGGTTCTGGGCCTCCTCTCTACTCAGCCTCAAATGATTACCTGGTGTGTAAACATCGCCACTGGGGAGACAAAGGCGGCTGGGCCACCCACCCCTTCTTGCGTCGTGCCGGCCTTCATAGGTGCTCACTAACAGCACTTGCCCCAATAGTCTGTTAAGGCTATAGGGGGGATCTTTGTCTTTGTGTTGGCAGAGTGCTGCGTCTGTATGCGTTGTGGAGCCTCGTGCGGCAGCTGTTGCCCAGTTTGGATGGGAGGTACGAGGACGCCAAGCAAGACCTCATGGTGGCAATCCACGGAGCGGACAATGTGAGTTGGTTGAGTGGCTGCTGTGGTGGCGCTGTAAAGCCGGAGCATGAATCGGTGAAATATCGACGCTTCCCATTGGTCGCTGACCGTGTGGCATCGCCTCCGATTGGCTGCATTAGGCATGCATTCTGTTACACCATAGCTGCCTCCTGCAACGAGTTCTTTAATCGTGTAGAATAATCAGGGGTGGGGAACGTCCGGCACGCGGGCCGTATAAGACCCTGCCAAGGCAACCGCAGGCGAGACTCGAAATTCAATAATCTAGGACCAAGCTGGAAAATCAGTTGCGAGTAGCAACATCATCAACACCAGCTAACATCACATGCCTCACCAAAGAGAAGCAGTTCCAGCCATCGCATTAGGGGTGAGTTAATTCAATGTTTGACCAAATATAACAGGCTAATTTTTCAGTTGATAATTTTGTATGGCCCGCGAATGAAGTTATACATATCCAAATGGCCCTTGGCAGGAAAAAGGTTCCCCACCCCTAGGGTAGATGATTGTATAGTTTGTTGTAACATTCTTACCCCGTGCCGCTACTGGACATCTGTGAAAAAGAGCTTCATAGCTCATCGGATTCTTCCTGCAGTCTAAATAAAGATTCTCCGTTCTGACCTCGGGACATCGCGATGGCCGAGCCATCGCGCCTGTTGCAGAGGTCCGCAATGGGAGCCGCGTGCCGCCCTGGATAATACCGCGGGGTGCATTTTAGCGGTACAGCACGACTCGCCTACTATGGCTTCAGAATGAACACTAACGACCTCGCCACGCTCTTCAGACACGAGCGTAGCGTCACTGCCCAGTTTCGAGAATTTACGCTTCAAATGAATTCCTCAATTGCAAGAATCGACGGAAACCAGTTTCGGATTAAGCTAGTGCGGGGCCTGCAGCATATGTTATAAAGGGGCCATAAAAAAATAAATAAACACAAAAATATTAAAACACATAAATGTTGAACTTGCATAATAAAGTAATTGTATTTTTTCATTTGTTATACAGCCAGATAATACGACAAATGGCCAACCTTAAACACCCAGTCGTTCATAAGAGTTGAAGGCAGTATAGTACTATGGTAATAGAGCAAGTGCAGAATCACTGAACCGGAATTGATAGCTTGAAAGCATTTAGCGCAGGGCCTTGAAAGTGCGGGGCCTGTACTGGGATACTCCGGCACTGACGGCAACGTCGCCTTCTCCTGCAAAGTTTACGGCAGGACCCTCCCGAAAACTACTCTTGAGACTCGGTGAGCGTTAAAAAAAATCAGTCTCATCGAATTAAAACATTCATACCACGTTCACGGTCACTTGTTGCCGCACTCTGCCGTGCAGTGTGAAACTCCGCGATAGGCTTGACATTCTTCATTTTCAGCCTCCAGTGGGCGGTACACTGTGCGTCTACATGATGTGAATGTTGATCATTTATGGCAAATGTTCATGAACTGCTGTCCTGAGCTCATCTCGTCCACACATCAGTGGCAGTGGCTGCAGCACCAGGCAGCTGCTGGTTTCTGTCCCCCCATGGCTCCGCTGTAACCCGCGCGCTGTTTGTGCGCTCGCAGGTCGAGTCACGAGCGCGCTGGGAGTTCTGCGTGGAGGAGACCAACCGGGCCCTGCCCCTGGGCCTGGGAGCTCTTTACGCCAGGGCCACGTTCAACGCAACGCAGCGGCGCACGGTACGAGCCACAGCACGCTCTGCAGCAGAGGCAGCAGCAACAGCCAGGAGCAGGCAGCAGCCAGCAGCAGTAGTAGTAGCAGCAGCCAACAGCAGCAGTAGCAGCAGCAACAGCAGCAGCAGTCAGTAGCAGCAGCCAACAGCAGCAGCAGAAGCAGCAGCAACAGCAGCAGCAGTAGCAGCAGCAACAGTAGCAGTAGCCAGCAGTAGCAGCGGCAGCATCAGCCAGCGGCAGTCAGCAGCAGCAGTCAGCAGCCGCCAGCAGCAGCAGCAGTCAGCAGCGGTAGCAGCGGCAGTCAGCAGCAGCCAGCAGCAGTCAGAAGCACCAGACAGCAGCAGCAGCAAGAGTAGAACTGCGGTGTCGCGGGGCTTTGCTTGCCATACTGATGTCGTCGCGTGTGACACTTTGTAACTGAACACTAAAGCAAACTTCAACTTGGGCTTTAAAATAAAAAAAAAGGATTTCCCTTTTTTGGCAGGAATACAGGAGGTGTTAAGATGTTCAAACACCAAATCGGCAGCTATCACAAGGCATCAAGTCTGCATTAACCACACATGCTCGTGGTAAAACATGCATACATTATACTAGGATGTTTGTTTGCATGCTTTACGACAAGGATGTGTGGTTAATGCAGACTTGACGCTTTGTGATAGCTGTCGATTTGGTGTTTGAACATCGTAACACCTCCTGTATTCTTGCTAGAAAGGGTAAAACCTTTTCTTTTTTCTTTTAAAAAAATGTTCATCATCTTGATACTGGCAAAAAGGGTCCCGTAAACTCTTAACTTGGTTTCCTCTTCTCCCCACGAACAAACGGTCAATGAACCTCGCAGGCGGAGGACATCGTTACAAGGATACGAAATGCATTCGTGAGCAACCTGGACAGCATCGCGTGGATGGACGGCAAGACTCGCGCGGCAGCCAAAGAGAAGGTAGGGGGGACGTGCACGGCACCTCGCGGGCAAGGGCGGCTGGGCTGTTGGTGGGCATCAGCTGGTGGGCATCAGCTGGTGGACATCAGCTGGTGGGCATCAGCTGGTGGGCATCAGCTGGTGGGCATCAGCTGGTGGACATCAGCTGGTGGACATCAGCTGGTGGACATCAGCTGGTGGGCATCAGCTGGTGGGCATCAGCTGGTGGGCATCAGATGGTGAGCTTCAGCTGGTGGACATCAGCTGGTGGGCTTCAGCTGGTGGACATCAGCTGGTGGGCATCAGCTGGTGAGCATCAGCTGGTGGACATCAGATGGTGAGCTTCAGCTGGTGGACATCAGCTGGTGAGCTTCAGCTGGTGGACATCAGATGGTGAGCTTCAGCTGGTGGACATCAGCTGGTGGACATCAGCTGGTGAGCATCAGCTGGTGGACATCAGATGGTGAGCTTCAGCTGGTGGACACCAGCTGGTGGGCATCAGATGGTGAGCTTCAGCTGGTGGACATCAGCTGGTGAGCATCAGCTGGTGGGCATCAGATGGTGAGCTTCAGCTGGTGGACATCAGCTGGTGGGCACCAGCTGGTGGGCATCAGCTGGTGGACATCAGCTGGTGGGCATCAGTTGGTGGACATCAGCTGGTGGGCATCAACTGGTGGGCATCAGCTGATGGGCATCAGCTGGTGGACATCAGCTGGTGGACATCAGCTGGTGGACATCAGTTGGTGGACATCAGCTGGTGGGCATCAGCTGGTGAGCATCAGCTGGTGGGCATCAGCTGGTGGACATCAGCTGGTGGGCATCAGCTGGTGGACATCAGCTGGTGGACATCAGTTGGTGGACATCAGCTGGTGGGCATCAGCTGGTGGGCATCAGCTGGTGGGCATCAACTGATGGCTGCCCACCTTTGAGCAATGATATGAAGCTGATGGGTGATGTGTGAAGCAATAATGACAAGTTTCCATCCAAACAGTGAAAGGGAAGTTAGCACCGAGGGTTGAACTGGGCCCCGAGCCCTTGCCCAGTAAATCCGGCCCTGGAGATGCGCCTTAACACTCGGTCCAACGTGAATCTGAACTCCAATCGGCTCCCAAATGGCTCGGGTTGGGCTGGGTGTGCGTCGGCCCAAATCCAGGATGGACTTACTGGGAACATTCCTGAGAGCCGAGTTGCCCAGCCAAACAAACCCAGTGAGCACAGATTTAATGTCATTTATAACAACAAAAAAGACACCATCTGGACCTTCAGACATGACAATACCGCTTCTGCTCCCTGGCCTTCAACCCTTCACCGTTCCGATGGAGGAGACAGTTTTTCCTTCGGATTCCGTTTTCCGATGACGTACGTTTACGTCATCGAAGAATGAAATGGAATCGGAAGTAAAAGGCCACACGGGAGGTCGTGTGGCACGGTTTGGCGGAAGTAATCGTAGAGTGCAGGTCGTGTCGCTACGGTTCTCTGCGGTGAGTGACAATGTTTTTAAACACAGCGGCGCTACTACGCCTCTCTGAATAAAATTCACGCCGAGCCACTTGCGCGTTCGCGAGTAATTCAGCGGTGAACGGAACCACCACCACACCCTGCAATTCGCGGACGTCTCGGAAAGGGTTATACTGGTAGGAACCTCCTGGTTACACCAGCCCACAGGGGATTATTGCGTCCGTCGTGCAGGGAGGGGCTGAGTGGGGAGTGGAGGGTGGGGAGGGGCTTGGTGGACAGGGTGGGGAGGGGCTGGGTGGGGAGGGGCTGGGTGGGGATGGTGGGGCTGGGTGGGGGGTGGGAGGGGTGGACCTGGGTGGGGAGGGGCTGGTCACCCCGTGGTGCCATTATAAAACTCAACGTTTAACCTACTCACGCCGGCTTGTGCCCGCCCTCACAGTCGGCCATATTTGCGGAATACACCACGCCGCCGTTGACCCTGGCCATTGACCGAGCAACCCAACGTTCCTACCAGCTCCCTCCGCAGGAATGTGTTAATACGTGCAGATGTGCTTCAGTCACACTGATGTGATGCCATTACCACCGTGCCACGCCATGTCACCGTTATGGTAGACGCGTTTTGTGCCTTATCTCCACAGTCCATGTCCATCAAATTTCAAGTTGGGTATCCCGAAGGGATGCTTGAGCCAGGATTCCTGGATCGATTGTACGCCAATGTAAGTGGTCGCTCAGATCGGGACCCATTGCTTCTCCACGCCCAGAGTCACTTTGGTGCCTCAACCCTCAGTCGACGCATACATCATGGGGTTGAAAACGATGTTTTTGTTTGAAACAACATTAAAAATATAAAGTGAAAAATAATAAGAAATAATCTTATGGGGATGCCGATTACTCGCGAGAAATCCGAAACGGTTAAACGTAAGTTAAACGCAAGTTCAAACCGTAGACGCACGGTGGTTGCGTTGTGACGTCGCCAATCGCAGCGGATCTGTCGGAAAACCACGTCCCTCTCAGGTCACGGTGTCGGGAAGCTTGTTTGAGAACACGCTGGAGCTGTACCGGACGCGGAGGGAAACCCTGCAGCAGCAGCTGAGCGCACCCGTGGACACCAACGACGACAACAATGGGTGCGTTGTGAGGCCCCTGTCCTCCTCCGTGCAGAACCCTCACTGCCAAGGGGGCCCTCTGATAAGCGGCGTGCAGACACATTCACGATTCATCGTGGCTTTCAACTCTTTTTTTTACTCTCGTTTAAAATTTTACCAGGTTAGGGGCCCCCCCTGAGCTGTGTAGCTCTTTTGTCCGAAGCCGACCTGGCTATCACGAACGATAGGCTCAACGAAGTGGCTTATCGTCAAGTGCAAATTTATAGCAGTAGCCAAATACTCTGAACACGCATTTGATTCGAAATCTGGAGGGAAAAACCAGAACACCCGGACGTTGAGCGTCTTTCAGCACTGTACGTAGCCAACCGTGCTAATCGCAGGTGCGGCTGGCTGGTAACATAAACAAATGTGTGCCAGTCACTTTTTGAGAAATGGTTCAGAAACGTAAGCTCCTCGTGCACGTGCGCAGTGGCAAGGGCCATTGGTTCTAGATTTGAAAGCTTTCGTGACTGCAAGGATTCATACTCTTAGGTTTTTTCGGTAAAGTCACGTAGGTAAAAATAAAAAATAGCTGTGACTGGTCCCACCTGAAGACGGACACTTGTGTTGCCTCCGAAACGTCGCGATTTTATTTAGTAATTTTTCATTTCTTTTTTTTACCTACGTGACTTTACCGAAAAAACCTAAGAGTATAAGTGCCATTGGTGCCAGGGGGGTTTTAATTTGTTCACCACTGCCAGCGTAGTCCATCGCTGTGTTGTGTTTATTGACCTTTTGCATCGATTCATCACGAAGGGGATTGTTGTGGTTCCCCCCCACCCCGAGAAATTCAGCAAAAGTGCGCCTGTGAATAGTTGAATTAGCCTTAGTCTGGGTGCACGAGTGTCTCGCAAAAAGGCCATATTTAATAACAGCATTAACGACACGACGTAAACATGTATTACTACTACACGTTACACGTAAACACTCAGTCCATTGGCCCGATAACATCTTAATGACTGCAGAGGAGCAGAGCTTGGGAAGGGAATTTGGCGTGGCCTCACCGCTGCTTCTGCTTTCCCGGCCGTCTGTGGTTCCTCTCTCTACCGCCTCCGAGTCTCGTGCGCGGCACCTTACACGCCGTCATCGTCATTGCTCTATGAAGCAGACCCTCTGTGCTCGCTGCTTGCCAGTACCTACACGCGAGCGTCTGCTGCCACGGCGTGCGCGCGCGTGTTCACGCTCGTGCGTGCGCGTGCCCGCCCAGGTGGAGCATGAACCCTCAGACGGCCAACGCGTACTACTCCCCGGAGGAGAACACCGTCGTCCTCCCCGCGGCGCTCTTCCAGCCGCCGCTTTTCCACGAAGACTTCCCCATGTACGCCGGCCACGCACCCCTCGGCGCGCCGCCTGCCCGCCTGCCTGCCTGCAGCGCGTGGCGTCTCGGGAGACGGGGACCCCGTGCTCTTTGAGTCGATCGTGATATTTAGTGTTGGCAGAACGCCGAAAACAAAAAGCTTTTGACTATAAAAACCCACAAATGGCGGTTGAAACCGATGATCACTGTGCCGGAGCACTGCGCCAACATCGCTGGGGGTTTGCGTTTTGAATTCCAGCAGCCACTCGTGATTGACGTGGCTTCCAAGGTGTAGCGATGTTGATGGTCTCAACCCTGGTCACCAATGACCGAACAACCAAACTCGACTCGGCTTTTTCACTTTGGCGTAATCACTGCCTTGAGGAATACAAATGTCAGCTTTGAATTCCGTGAGACGAACGCTCTCTGCAAGGGAATTGGAGTTCCGTCGAGTTCTGGATGTGAGAGGCCTGTTGAGGTGACTTCTGGAGCAGTGCTGTGATATCTGCAGTGTGATGCACTGCTTACTGTGAGAGCTAATTTACCCGTCTCGTGACACAGTGCCGATAAAGCATTTGGAATATTGGAGAAAAAAGTAAAAAACAATTAAAGATTTATGCAATGACCGCTAAGCGATTGAGAGTGTGGATAAGCCAGTGGACTAAACATTCTTCATGATATGTGGAGACACAACAGAGTTTTTGATTGTAAATGCTTGTACCCATAATGCACCACAACGCGCGATTCCACATGCACGGTTGATTATGATTTTTGGGTTAGGCCACGTCTCGATATTGACCACACCTCTGTCATTAGACACCATAATATTGCCTGAGAAAACCAGCGTGCAGCAGTCATAATTCATGTTGTGATACCATTGGTGTGAGACATCATTTGAGCTCCCATGCAGCGCTGCTGCGAACGGCATCCAGCGGGCCAAGCAGAAGGCCCAGTGCCGCCACTGTCACAAATATTGTCCCGACCCAATCGCAGCTCGCGATGGGCACCACCATCACTGCCACATCACCAGCGATGCCGACAACCCGGAGAAATTATATTTTGAAAAAATGAATTTAATGCTGTGTGCCCACGTAAGATTACATGCCTGTATTTATGGGACAATCTTTGGTCGACGTGTTGACGTGTCGGAGGTTGATGTGTCGTGTACGCTCGTCTAGGATGATAGAATTATGTGTGATGACTGTAGGATAATGGAGGTCTGTGTGATGACTGTAGGTGAAGGTTTGTGTGCTGACTGTAGGTGATGGAGGTCTGTGCGTCGTTCTGCTCGTGGGTTTCAGGGCGGTGAATTTCGGCAAAATTGGCGTCGTCATCGGCCACGAAGTGACTCACGCGTTCGACGACCAAGGTGGGGTGCAATGCAAACTTCCGCGCGTGCTTTTTGATCAATGACGAATCCAACGTGATCGTTCTTAATTCACGCATGGACCGGTAAAAGCATAAACTAGCGGAAGTCGAGAGTGTGGCAACGCATTGAGATCCGGAGAGGCACCGAGCCTCGGCAAGAAGCCGCACGAGCCGAGCTCACGCCTCTGGACTATCGACACTCGGGGCGCACGGAACGCGTTTGGTTGCCGGTTGGAGCTGGCGCGGTCAGCGCTCGCGACGCCTCCTCCTCGTCATTTCTTGTGTAGAACTCCAACCGTGGTTGTACTCGGGAAACGTTCACGACGAGACGGGCACAGGGTACGGTCACCATGGCATCTGTGCGGATCCGTTGATGGCATTTATCGAAAACTCAACACACCTCTGTGTCGTAACCAGCGTATCGAACGCACGGCATTCGTAAAAAACGAATAATCGTGCTCCCGATTCTGTTTTTGAGATGGTAGAGCACCCTGTCAGGAGACGCACGCCGAATAACGCTGCCCCTGCAACAGAAAAAATGCACAAGGATCACCAACATGATCATCGGCTTCGTGTCGCGACCGTGATTGCGCGTGCAGGCCGGAGGTTCGACGGCCAGGGCCGGATGCGTGCGTGGTGGTCGAGCGCGTCGCTCGCCGCCTTCAAGCGGCGCAGCGACTGCCTGGTGGGGCTCTACGAGCGCTGGGCGGCAGCGGCGGGGGGCGGCGAGGGGCGCTTCAGCGGCCGGCAGACCCTGGGGGAGAACGTCGCCGACTTGGGCGGCATCAAGACGGCATTCCGGGTCCGAAGCGCCACGGCGCCGCACGGCGCTGGCCTCCGCTAGGTTGACTCGGCCTCGAAATGAGTACCCGGTGCGGTGGGTGTGTAAACATCGCCACTGGGGAGATAAAGGCGGACCGGGTGTGCTGCTGGCCACCCACCCCCTCGTGTGCCACAGTGCCGGCCTTCATAGGTGCTACTCGCTAACAGCACTTGCCTCAACAGTCTGTTCAGGCTATATGGGGGATCTTTATCTTTGTAGGCCTGTGTGTGAGGAGCGGCGGTGTAGCGGTTAGCGCAACGCTGCGCCTAGAACCCGGCGACCCGAGTTCGATTCCCGCTCATGGCTAACACCAGTGAATATTATCTGAACCTGTCCTGGGCCTCCCCTAGGTCGACTGAGCCTCAGAATGAGTACCTGGTGCGGTGTGTAAACATCGCCACTGGGAATAAAAAGGCAATCTGCTGTGCCGTGCCGGCCTTCATAGGTGCTCGCTAACAGCACTTGCCCCAACATTTTGTTAAGAATACCCGGGGGATATTTGTCTTTGTAGGCCTACGAGATGTGGACAGAGGAGAGGGGCGAGGAAGCCTTCCTGCCAGTGAGGAATCTCACCGACCGGCAAATCTTCTTCACAGCCTTCTCTCAGGTAGGATGCGGTCATCACGAGCCCCCGATTCGGCGTTTCACGCAACGCCTCGTACGGCACCGTGACCACACAACTCTCATCGCCGCCGCTCACCTCTAACCACCGTTCACCTCTCAGCATCGTAATCTTCCCTCTTATTTCCCTGCTAATGTTCAGAGCCACTCGGCACACACACACAACACACGGGGGACGCCGAGGGGCTTACACAACAGGCCCAAAAACCAACGCCCGATTCACCACCCTGCACATAGCCGAGCTTCGGGGGGCTGGGGGGGGCGAGTCGGCCCACTCAGCGCCGACTAAAATCAGCCTCGGCGCCGCGCGCTTCGTGCCGCAGGTGTGGTGCTCCGTGGAGACGGCGGAGGACCGCCGGCGCCAGCTCCTGCCGCGGGACACGCACAGCCCCGCACGCGTCCGGACGCTGGCGTCTCTGTCCAACTCGGCCGAGTTCGCCGCCACCTTCAACTGCCCCGCGGCGGCGCCGATGAACCCGCGGAACAAGTGCGACGTCTGGTGACCCGGGGCGGCGCCGGGCGCCCGTTTCACCGCTGGGAGGCGGGAGGGTCGGGCGCTTTGAGGGCCCACTGCCAAGCCACCAGCGTGGAGTTTGCGACCACGAGTTTTCGGGATCCCACAGTGCCCAGCCGGCGTCTTGGGAGAGTGGGAACGAGCGGCTTTGTGTGTTGCTTTGTGATCGAACAGTCTGCCTTGAACGTGCGGTCAAAATGTTTACCAGTATTTACCAGTGTGTCTATACCAATGCAACAAAAGAAGCAGCAATAACACTGTGGCCTTCATCAGGAACGGTGTACAATAGGTGACGGTGTCGCGGAATGGCCATTCTTCACAGCGCAAGAGAGAGGCCCCCCGCTGCACCTCTCCAGCCCCTCGACGCACTGTGAAACACCGCCCATTATCCACCGTCTCTTACTTAGATGGTCACACGGCAATATTGAAGAACGCGTTGAGGTTTTTATGACTTACTGTTTGAGCTTGTGCACCACTGCCAGTGCAGCGTCGCCAAATAATTTGTTTGATACTCCCATGTGCTTAGCCGCTTGAGAATAGAGGGGCCAGACGAGCAGGGCTGTTGAGGGCTGTTGAGAGCGGGGAAGCCATCGCCTGATCAGCAGCCACGGCCGGGGGAGCTGCTGTGAGTCGGGGTGTTCACGCGCTAAGCAATCGCTAAACAATCGCTAAGAATCGCTAAGCAATCGCTAAGCAATCGCGCGCTTTGCGTATGGCGAGCGACGCTCACGAGGCCAGCAACGGGCAGCTCAAACGCCGTAAGGTGGCACAGTGGGGGGGGCACAGGTGGTGCATCTGCCAGTCGTCTCGGTCAGGCAACCCATGGCACCCGCTGCGTCTGTCCCTGAACTCCTGCCAGCGGGCCTACGTCATGTAATTTCCTCAAGGTGCACCTAGCCTGGCAAGAGCACCTTGCTGACGTCATCGCTACTTCGTGGCAAACGGCGGTTGTTGTAGAGTATATAGTTTGTTTTTTAATAAAAATACTAAGTGATAATTTCACTGGGAAGAAAATAGGATCCTTTGACAAACCCATGATTCACATTTTATATGCTAATTACAGTAGTTTATCTTGCAGAAAATTTAGTTGAGACATTTTGTACAATTTTTTTAACATTTTGGAAAGACGCTTTTCAAGAGGTAATGACTGAATGTGAAAATCAGATGGTTTTTAGAATACAAATATTGTTCTAAATGTTTGTGCTTAATAGGGGATTGTGCATGAGCTGTGTGTTTGGTACACAGTGGCGAGAGCCGGGTGGCCGCTCGGTAATTGTATGCAACGACCAGCTTGGTGCTGCCGAGATCAGAAATCCAGATGACGGTCTCCCACCCAGCTCGAAGCCAGAGTCCTGTCGGACGTGCGTGTGGGAGCCTCCGCCTGGAATGTATTCAGTCACTTGCTCGTGCATTCGTTTTACAGGTAAAGCGCCCGGGCGAACCTCTGCACATTTATAGAGGGCCCAGTAAGTTCGAGGTAAAACAGACCCTGAAGGCTACCTGACTGTAGGATGGAGTTGCCATTCGTGGCAGCTCTCATAGAGCGTTCTGTAATAGAAATCAAAGCCCCGATGCCCATATAATCGCAAGGATAACATGACACGTGCCATGCTCTTCTGCCGTTTGTGCCGTTGAACCGTATTCGGGCGTTATGGAACCAATAAACTTGTAGGGTACTGTACATGGCAAGGGTCATATTGGGGTCAGTGGAGATGGGTGGAAACAGGTGGGAAGTAGAAGACAGTAGAGTCTGCTGGAAGACTCTACCGGGGGAAAGTGCTGGAAGTTACCATGGCGTGGCCGAGCGGCTGTATAAAGGGGAGCAAGGCCCACGATCGGGGCGCCGGCTTGGGGACTGAAGGACGACTGCAGGTGAACGACTTCGGGGCCGACTGTTAGAGATCGACGTGGTGGAAACCATCAAGAAGGACTGTTAGAGATGAATCTCGTGGAAACCACCGGGGCTGCAGATAGGCATAGCCCTGTGAAACGTGTTAGTCGTACTCTCGCCTTGTAAATACGTCATCGGGAAATAAATCGTCTGGAAAATGGAACCTGCGCGAAGGAGCTTCTTTACAAACTTACTGCCGTCAACACGGTAATGTTGTCTTGATCCCGGGACTAGGGTCGTCCTGAGCCCTACGTTAAAGTCAACAGACCATAGATTTATGCATTGTTGGCAAATGTCCCTTTTTGTCCAATCTTTGGCAAAAATGCATTGACGTTTCCATTACTTAACAAGGCAAATCGCTAACGTTTCCGGCGTCAATCCGTCTTCCTGCTTACACAGGCACTTGTGGTATTTACATCTCCCGTGACAGCCCTAAGCAACAGTAGATGTATAAGAATGTGTAATTACATTTGAATTCCACATTCCTATGGCAAGCATCAGTATCTGCAAAGGACAACTTCTGTTGACTTCTCAAACAGCGGTACGTCCACCAACCCTGCAGGGAGGATGGGCCTAGCCGACCCGACTGGGGTTTGACCGCGTGCTCTTCAACTGGATCAAGCGCCCTCCAACTGCAGCACGCCTCTGTTGTCGTCTGCCCACCCCGTGGACCCATCGGCACTATCAAACTCCAGTCCCACGTTTTTCACGCACAGTTGCCTGTGTTTACAATGAACAAATCGAAATCATTTTTGTTTTTCTTTAATAATTGTAGAGCCCTTTTAACAATCCGCTCGTAGATGAAGGTGCCCCTCCACTGTGCAGAGGGGTTGGTTGCAGGACGGGTTCAACCGTCACTCGCCACTCATGTCCAGTGTCTGGGAATCACTCGGAATTTCTGGGTTCACAGAACAGAAACTCCCCCCCCCCCCACCTTCCCAATACAATGAAATGAATAATGGTTTTCACGAAGGAAAGCCTCAATGGGTCTCAAGACTCTTTTCAGACAGTATTTTCCATTGAGGATATTTGTCCAATCCTAGTCAAGTTTGGCAGGTGGGTTGAAAATGGAGAATCCGTGAAAAAAAATCTGCCCACAGGAGGGGGACAGCACTCAAAGCAGGCGGCACAAATATCACGCGGAGCCATCGCGGTACGGCCACATCCTGGCCACGTCAACTCACGCCACTTGTCATCGCAGGAGGCAGTTTCCTATCCAAGCAATAAGCCAGGTCCCCGCGAGGCTCCCGAGACCTAACATGAGAAGGCACCGTGAGGATGATTTCATCATAAGTTGTGTTAGGTAGGAGCCATATCTGCTCGCCAATTCAAATGTTCTTTATTTTAGTTCTACGACTGATGCTTGCAAATGCCAGCAACACGATGAAGCCTCGTCCTAGGCATTCTTACCAAGAGTTACTCTTTCACTGGGGCACAAACACGAGAGTGTGGGTCTTTCACTTTGTAAATCAATCCGTGTGTAGCATTCACAGTCCACAGTGCTCGCACCACACCTAGCTTGACAGCACGTCTTTGTCCAAATTTATTTTCTATTAACGCTTTGTGCATTTGTTGGATTTTCACAGCCTCAAATGACCAAATTAGTGAAAACTTCAGCGTCAGGTGTGTTAGGCCACGGTCTACGTAACATCTCCACGGCAAATTTAGGAAATGCGGAGGTGATTAACGGAAGGCACAGTGCCACAATCCTCTGCCCATTAAATTTCATGCCATACATTCATATTCTTGGTTCTTTCGGTAAAGTCACGTAGAAGGGAAATAATAAAATAATAAATATATATTATTTCCCTTCTACGTGATGACTTTACCGAAAGAACCAAGAATATGAATCCCTGCAGTCACGAAAGCTTTAAATCAAAAGTCATACATTCACTTCAAAAGGTCGGGTCACAGAAATCATGCCGACATGCACGCAGGAGGTGACCGGGCCAGAGGGTTAGAGGGTCGTGCACTGGGTGTCGTCTGTAGGAGGATTCCACTTGGACTCGTTATGACGATTTTATTTTGTTACGATCGTGTTGCCAGGATTCCCAATTTCACAGATGCGTTGAGTGCACGTTTTGCTTGAATCGCGTAGGAGAGTCCATGCTCGCGTTGTTCCGCTTAAATGTTTATTTTCGTGATTGCACTTCGGAGAAACCACTTGACGGGTATAGGAACGTTATACTTAAACAACCTGTAATAACACCACACAGACATTTACATTTTAACTCCCAAGGTACAATAACAATTAGTAAGTGTTTCAATTTGTACTTTCAAAAGTTACACGTAGTGTTGTGAAATCTGCAAGCATTAGGACTCACGGCATTGTGATGAGGGCGAGTGGAAGTTGCATTGCGACGTTCTAATAAAGAAACCAATCGTCGTAGCCACCGCAGCCGTGAGCAGCCTTCCGGCTGCGTCACAGGGCCAGTCCCTGTGAAAACCGCCAGCGATTGAGGACTGCGAGCTGCAGGGATTCTACCCCCCCCCCCCCCCCCCCATTGCCCCAGGTGAATTGTGTGCAGAGCGATGTTGGTCAATGAAGCGCACGGCTCGTCCGGGATAAAATCGTCCGGGGCCACGAGCGGGGTAGGGAGGTGCCGTAGCGCCATCCCACGATGCCACCCGTAGGTGACGAGCGATTGCCGTGCGACGGTACGCAGCGTGCGCCGGACACAGCAGCTCGGGAAGTGCAACACGTTAGACGGCTGCCGCTTGAGGTGCGAGCCGGTTCCAGGGGGACGACGGGCGCTGGTCACGAGTGCTCGCGTCGGCCCGTGCGGTCGCCAGGCGGTCGCGCCAACTTCACTCGCGCTCATGTTCCGCTCATCGTCAGCGACACGGGACGGGACCGAGGGCATCTCGACAATTGCAATTAAGTGGCCGCTACCGCACAGGTGGAAGTATTTGTTTCTAAGGAAGCTAAGCGACGTCGGTCCGGCTCTTGGTCACACCCGCAGGTGGCTACTCTCCGACTCAAAGGCCCCATTGTCCACTCCCGTGGGTAGCGTCGCGCCGCTCGCGACAGCGCCCGGGCTCCAGCCCCCCGCCAGGGAGCGGCCCGCGGCACCACCGCCGCCGCCCTCCCGCTCGACCCCCACGTGCACCTGCACATCCTCGGCCGCCAACACCTTCCAGCCCGACGAGGCGGCCTCCAGCTGCTCCCGGCTCCGCTTGCGGTACCTGCGCAGGTGACGGCAGGCGACAGCGTTGATCGGCAGCGGTGCCGTCGTCATCGTCGTCATTCGCGCACCGAGCAATGCCGAGGAGACGCGGGGAACGCATGTGGATGTGCGTGTGTTGAACTTCTTTCGCACCCTACGTAGGCGACTGTGCTAATCCTTCCTAGGTAGTGAACGCCGAGCCACGAAAAACATTGTCGGGGGAACAATTGCAAAAGTGTAGGTAGCTGTGTGCGCTCGATAAACAATGTACAGTGGACTGCTTCTCCTGAGTGTCGTGGCATCGTTGAGGCTCACACAGCATCTGTACGACCTCCACACCGGCATCGCGGCCGCGTACGGAGAACAAGCGAGGAGGAGACCGCTGTTGTGCCCTAAGTCGTCTTTAAGCAGTGGTTCTTAACCTGGGGTGCAGGCACTCCCTGGGGATGCGAGATGCCCTTTCTGGGGGTACGGGACATGCCAGATTTTTTTAGAAGGTAAATTCATTCCATAGTTATGATATATCTTTGCTTTAAAGAAGTGAGCTACTTCAACGATGTTTGATAAGGGGTGCAAAAACATATTTTGAGAACCAAGGCTGCAGTAAAGGCTAAAAACCACTGTGTTGCAGAGAAAATACATAAACAGAAAAATACAATCGTTGATGCTCGACACCGATAGCCCCGCATATTCAAGCAGGCCGGGGGCAGTCGACCGAGCCCGCCTTGATAATGGCAGGCGCCGCGCCTCTTAGTAACTGCCGTGCTCAATCCTCCGCAGTATTATAAGTCAAATGCCGGGTCGAGGCGAATGTGACACTTGACTTGGCCAAGGAGTAGAGGCAGCTCCCCCCCCTCCATGATTTGAAACTCTTTAAATGCTGCTCTTTGACAAAAATAAATTCGTAAAGCGTGTCTGTGTGTGTGGAGTAGAGCCACTCAGCTAATCGGCATTTATAACATCGATGATCCAAACCAAACCACCACAAATTCTTGACTGGGCACACAAAAATTTTTGGCCAGGATGGTCAGTCACCCTCACCCATTGGGCAGGCTCAAACTAGAGTTGTCCATCGCCCTCGGTCTCTCGTGATGAACGCGCACAAACGCACGACGCCCATCGTGAAACGTCGTGCGGAATATCTAGCGTGCCCCAGTGTGGCACGGAGCGCGACGGGTGACGGAGCCCCGATCCCAGCTTTGAGTTTTGGTCTCAATCCCAGTGCGACGGCGACAAACGTGCATGCGCCCGTGAGCGCGTTCTGCCGCTTCGTCTGGGCGGGGTGAGCGGTGGGGGGGGGGAGACAAACTCACAGGCGCAGGAGGAGCGAAGAGAGCAGCACGGAGACGGAGGAGGCCGCCATGGCGGCCGAGGCCATCCACGGCTGCAGCACGAGGCCCACGGGCAGGAAGACCCCTGGGGGCACGGGGGGAGGGGGGGGCGTGGGAGAGAGGCAGGGCCCACAGTGAACGCTCGCACCTCGCAGCAGGAACGGCCTGCGTTTGATTCCTGATTGAAGAAGCTTTCTGCGTGGCGCTGGTATGTTCGCCCCCTGGTTCTTCATGGACTTGCTCCGGGTTCTCAGAATTTCTCCCAGAGCTAAGTTTGTATCCCGTGTAGAACCACACTCCCGGTATCCCGTACAGAACAACACTCCCCCGTATCCCGTACAGAACCACACTTCCCCGTATCCCATACAGAACCACACTTCCCCGTATCCCATACAGAACCACACTCCCCCGTATCCCATACAGAACCACACTGCCCCATATCCCATACAGAACCACACTCCCCCGTATCCCATACAGAACCACACTCCCCCATATCCCATACGGAACCACACTCCCCCATATCCCATACAGAACCACACTCCCCCGTATCCCGTACAGAACCACACTCCCCCGTATCCCGTGCAGAGCCACACTCCCCCGTATCCCATACAGAACCACACTCCCCCATATCCCATACAGAACCACACTCCCCCGTATTCCGTACAGAACCACACTCCCCCGTATCCCGTACAGAACCACACTCCCCCGTATCCCGTGCAGAGCCACACTCCCCCGTATCCCATACAGAACCACACTCCCCCGTATCCCGTACAGAACCACACTCCCCCGTATCCCATACAGAACCACACTCCCCCGTATCCCATACAGAACCACACTCCCCCGTATCCCGTACAGAACCACACTCCCCCGTATCCCATACAGAACCACACTCCCCCGTATCCCGTACAGAACCACACTCCCCCGTATCCCATACAGCGCCACACTCCCCCGTATCCCGTACAGAACCACACTCCCCCGTATCCCATACAGAACCACACTCCCCCGTATCCCATACAGCGCCACACTCCCCCGTATCCCGTACAGAGCCACACTTCCCCGTATCCCATACAGAACCACACTCCCCGTATCCCATACAGAGCCACACTCTCCCGTATCCCATACAGAGCCACACTTCCCCGTATCCCGTACAGAGGCACACTGCCCCGTATCCGGTGCAGAGGCACACTGCCCCGTATCCCGTGCAGAGGCACACTGCCCCGTATCCCGTACAGAGGCACACTGCCCCGTATCCCGTACAGAGGCACACTGCCCCGTATCCCGTACAGAGGCACACTGCCCCGTATCCCGTGCAGAGGCACACTGCCCCGTATCCCGTACAGAGGCACACTGCCCCGTATCCCGTACAGAGGCACACTGCCCCGTATCCCGTGCAGAGGCACACTGCCCCGTATCCCGTGCAGAGGCACACTGCCCCCGGCTGCACCCAGCCCTGCACCTGCAGCGATGGGAAGGCCCAGCAGGTTGTAGACGAGGGCGAAGACGAAGTTGATGCGGATGCGGAGCACGGTTTTCTTCGAGAGCTCGATGCTCGACACGACGTCCAGGAGGTTGCTCTGTGGAGACGCACGGTGCGGACGGGAGCACGAGCAGAGGCGACGGGACGGCACGGAACCAGAGAGCGCAGCAATGAACTTCAACGCTTCGTGCTCAAGTGCAGTACTGATTGGTTTCAATACTAATACAGTATCGCAATAACCTCCAGCCATTACAGCTATGAATACAAAATAGAGTCACGTGCTTTGTCTATGAAAGCCTCGAGACATGAATTATTCAGGAGGGTTGTGCATTAGGATGTTGGACAGTTTATTTTTTACGATCGAGCGTTTTTCATGTGGCAGGAAACTGGAGTACTCGGAGAAGACCCACGAGTACAAGGAGCTGACACGCAAAGCTCCGCACAGATAGAGTCAAGATTTCATTGCCGTACTGCCCGGACACATTACAGCCCAGCGGTTTTTAGGAGATGCACAGCACACACAATGATCTCTAGGTGACCCACCAACCCTGCCTCCAAAGGTTTGCAGAGGTGTGCGCCACCACCACAGGAGGTGAATGTCCCACCTTAGTGGCAGCTGTTCATTTAGCGGCCATATAAACGACAGCAGCAATGGCTGACGCCCGGGGGACGGCACACCGCGTCGCCGCACGGAGGAAGCTCCCCAAGCCAAGTAACGTCTCGCTAAAGCAGCGGAGCTGCGGGCATGTGGCTGGTGCAATTGCACCGAGGCCCACGGGGAACGGAGCGTCCGAGGCCCTGGGGGAAGGCGGAGAGCGGAAGGCGATGGCCTCATCTAGGTCCTCGCGCCGCGCCCCGCGCGCCGTGCGCCGCGCGCTGCACCCACGCGGATGAGGACGATGTCGGCGGCGGCGATGGCCACGTCGGTGCCGGAGCCGATGGCGATGCCGACGTCGGCCTGGGCGAGCGCCGGCGAGTCGTTGACGCCGTCGCCGACCATGGCGACGCGCAGGCCGCGCCGCTGCAGGCGCTGCACCTCGCGCACCTTGTCCGCCGGCAGCACCTCGGCGTAGGCGGTGCGCACGCCCACCTGCACGCGGCCGACGCAGCGAGCGGCAGCAGCAGCAGCGCGTCGCTTCGCGTCATACGATGGGCTGGAAATGGGGAAGGAATCACTGGGGGAGCTCACGAATACGTCACTCCTGCCCCAGATCTGCAGCATACCAACTGAGCAAGGGGGGTGGATGACATGAGCATCGATGCATACATTGTTTTTCCTGCTTCAGCAACACACTCAATAAAGCAATGTTATATATTTTTAATATATTCTTTATGTTTATTCGCAGATCTTTTAACAGAACTGTACACGTGTTTTCCCCCCACATAACGTTTGGGAGATCCAGAGCATGTCGGACAGACACTTGTGTATTATAATATAGATAGATATAGACACCCGTGAACCTGCTGTAACCACGGGTGCCCCTTGGCACCAGCTCGGCACTGCGAGGAACGCAGCTGCTCCACCAGCCACACAGGAACGCCACCACCCATTACAAACGGAGCGTTGCGCTCTCCCCCTCGTCGGCTGGCAGCATCTGGTGTCGCCGCGACGGCAACGGCGAGGTCGGCGAGGGTGGAGGGTTCGGGGGCGGCCGTGTCGGTCTGGCTCACCTGCGCGGCGATGGCGCGCGCCGTCCGGCGGTTGTCGCCCGTGAGCAGGATCACGTGGAGCCCCATGGCGGTGAGCGTGCGCACGACCAGCGCGGCCTCCTCCTTCACAGCGTCGGCGATCGCCAACATGCCGCACAGCTGGCCTGGCACACGCAGCGGCAAGGCCATCACGCAGCACGCCATGCCGGCAAGCCCTTTCAGGCAGTGGTATTGATGCACGCATGTTTTCTTTTTGCTTTAGTTATTTATGCTCAAGCAGCACTGCTAATGCAAGCAGCAGATGCAGCATCATCATGTAACCGGTGTAAATTGGTTGTGACTAAAGTTTTTGCCAGGCACGGCTTCAGCCCTTCTCTGATGGGGGGGTGGGGGTACAGCTGTTGCCTGGGGGGCCATCATAACAGTGATGAAGAGTGACCTTGGGTGAGACGAACGGACACTCGGTGGTGCGGGGCCCGGCCCGTCGCCCCCCAAGCGCAGTGCCCAGTTTTGCCGGAATGGGAAACGGCCCCCGGCAAACGTGCGTGCGTGCGAGCTTGCGTGCGTGCGAGCTTGTGTGCGTGCGTGCGTGCGTGCGAGCTTGCGTGCGTGCGAGCTTGCGTGCGTGCGTGCGTGCGTGTGTGCATGCGTGCATGTGTGCGTGCGTGGGGCCCGTACCGTCAACGGCTACCAGCACGGCCGTGTGGCCCTGCTCCTCATGCTGGGCCATGGCGGCGTGCACGGCGGGGGCCACCTCCACGCCGCTGCGCCCCATCCACTCGCGGTTCCCGATCAGCACGGCGTAGCGCTGCGGCTCTGCACGCGATCCAACAACCACCGACACCGACGTCGCCACGGCAACGGCCACCGCATATCGCAGGATTACAGGAACACTGCCTTGCAGCTTATTAGAACATAATTATTGCAGCGTTTGTTTACCCAGGAAAGCCTGATGGAGTCCCAAGACCCGTTTTCTAAACTAAACTAATTTTAATTTCACCGGGTAAGGCTCAGTGAGCTGTATAGCTCTTTTTCAGAAGCCACCTGGCCACAAGTTAGAGCTCAACTAAGAGAAAAATCCACGCTACCACGCGGAGAGAGACACGCAAACTCCAAACATACAGCAGGCGTCAAGGGTCGGGATCGAACCCACGACCTTCTGCAACCAGGCGAGACGGACAACATTCTCGCCACCGCGGCGAGACGACATATCCTGTACCGCGGTGAAGTCCACGGACAGCCGACGACACGGACAGCCAACTACACGTTTGCACCGAGCCGCCGTTGCTTACCGTGACATGTGGCCGTCGATTCGTCACCGTCCATGATGATGTGTGGCGCCGAGCGGTCGGCTGGCGCGGAGGGAGAGGCGTTCTTCTCGTTCTTCTCGTTCTCCTCATCGACGGCGGTCAGCGCTGCGTCCACGTTCGACACCTCGCAGGAGATCCCAAAGCCCGGCACCGCCTGGAAGGCCTGGCAGGAGCCCAGCCTCTCCGTGGACAGCTCCTGCACGCGCGGACAGACGCCCGAGTCCGGCCGACGTCGTTGGGCCCCGGTGAGAACTCAAGGGGCCATGACAGGGGTCTCACTTGCACGAGTGACCCGGGTCCCCGAAATTAAAGACGCAAAACAAAATGAAATAAAATAGAGAACAGCAAATTAAGCGAATAGAAATAAAGAGCAAAATAATAACTGTGTCACATGGGAATTGGAATATATTGCACGAATGTAAAACAACGTTAAGTAATACATTCTCTGTGGCGCAAGTCGGCTCGGGCAGATGCAATGTAGACTGATCGTTACACGGTTATACAGTTGTCACAGACACCTCGTATACATCAGATTAACGCCTGTCACTATTCTTCTGATATTCCCTAATAGCTCGTACACTTAATGGACAAGAGGCCACCCTGTTATTCAAGGCACAGCCGTTGATCGCAGGAAACAGCGGCATCCACAGCCTACAGGGAGCGCCGTGTACAACATTATTGCGTTACGGCTAAACGGTCCAAAATTGTGTCCAGAACCATTTTCGGTACCGAGGAGCGGTTCCCCGAGCGAAGCGGGCCAAGGCTCTGTCCGGTTAAGAACCAACGCACACCGCACCACCGCAAAGCTCCTCTTCTGGCGGGGGCGTTGAGCCGCCGCGCGACGTGCGAGTCTACATCTCCCTTTGCTCCGCGTGTCCCCCGGGGCGCCACGCGCCTGCTTGCAGTGCTTGGTGATGGCCACTCCCAGGGGGTGCTCGCTGCTCGCCTCCGCCGTGCCCACGATGGCCGTCAGCCTCCTCGGGGAGACGCGCGCTCGGCTGCCGAACAGCGCGAATCTCAGCACCCGTGGCATCCCGTGAGTCAGCGTGCCCGTCTTGTCGAACACCACGGCCTTGATCTGCGAGCGCACGGTGGACGCGCTGCACGTGAGCTCAATTCTGGTGCCTGGCCACGGCTTTCATATTCGGGTGGTTCCCTCTAGCAGGCGGGGATTATAGTGGAACACAAAATAATCACGAGCACCGTTGTTGAGAAAACAGGGAGCAAAATAAATAAGCAGACGATATGCCTCGTTTATAGATCTGTCTCTCCACATAAAACCACACTTCAAGTTAGTTTAGTTTAAAGAATGTTTGTTTAGTTTAATCACCAGGCCTTCTGGGAGGTGCACAATTTCAGCAGCGATTAAGCCAGCCCGGCACAGCTCAGGAGGAGCCACGTCATTTTTCACCGCAGAAACCGAGCCGCACGATGCCGACATCGCACCCAACGAGTGGAGACGCGTGTAGACGAAGGGGCGACACTCTGTTTGACTTGCACAGACGGCCACGCGCGCACTGAACTCGTCATTCGACTCCCTGTCCCTGGCCCAGCTTGGCCACGGGCCAGGATTTCTCGTGAGGCAAAAATCCCCAGTGGAAAACCACCCCGTGCCAAGAGGGATGGCCGCACGCTGGCTCAACTGAGATATGCAAGCAAAAGAAAAGGAAAGTACAGTCTATTCTCCTATAACTTGGGAGTAGTTGCGCATTCCTGAAGAACACTGCGTTGTGTAAAAATCGCATCATAATATATAATATAGGGTACTGCACAGTCTGTGATAACACATGAGATGCGTACTCAAGCTGAGCAACGATTGAGGCGGTGTGGGTAGCATTTAGAAGCATCCAGCAGCATCCCGCCTTGTGCGATGCTACGCCGACGCAGCCGTACGACCGCTTATTCCTACTCGCACGATGTAGTGCTGCTCGCATCCACGTTCTAACAAATGTGTTCCTCAACACATTCGTCGTGTTATATCCAATTCGCGTTATGAGAACAGACTGTAGTCCTTGAAAACAACACAACAATCATACACCGGGTGTCCTTCCGCATCGTCTCACAGGTTGGGCTACGCGACACGGGGCGCGGCGTCGTGCGTCAAGCAAGGCAGCGTCCCCGCGAAAGCGTACCTTGTGAGCCATCTCCAGCGGCTCTCCGCCCTTGATGAGGATGCCGTTCTGCGCCCCGACGCCGGTGCCCACCATGACGGCCGTGGGCGTGGCGAGGCCGAGAGCGCACGGGCACGCGATGCTCAGCACCGTGATGGCCGCCTGGAACGCAAAGCGCAGCACCACCTCCCCGTGCGGCAGCGACGGGTCGAAATCCTGGAACGGACAGACAGACAGGGAAGTGCGGCAGGGGGGAAGAAAGTCCACGACAATGTTAGCGAGTGTGCGGGAAGCAGACTCGTGGGTGGCAGCAGCAGCAGCAGCCATGCTTCTGTGCATCCTCATCCGCCCGTTGCTGATGAACCGTTAAGAAATGCCTGCATGCGGATATGGGGTGGACAAATTTAGAGAAGGCTGTAACGTATTATTATATATGGGTACGGTAAGTCCTCACGTGATGCATTTTCACACAACGCGTTTTCGCTATGACACGATTCTTGAATTGGTCACACACAACGCGCCCGTTACAGCGCAGTTTCTGAGTGGCCAACGATGAACTACTTTCTTCAGCTGCACAGCTGGTCGGTACGGGAATTCTGGGAAACCATGCGGAGTGATACGGTACGTGGAGGACGTAACCTCATCAAAGTTCTTTGTCCCACCATGGGATGGCTGCAGCCTGATTTTGATAAGAATGCACGTTATTTATGCCCTGCAATGTGTATACAATAATTTCTCGTTGAACGAGGCACTATTCAGGAATGCATCCACCGCGCTAAACAAGGAATTACTGTGGTTTAATGGCAGTGCAGAAGCTGTTATTTTTTTGTACACATAATCAATTGGGCACCACAGTGGTGAGATGTTAACTATCTTCTTGGTTCTTTCGGTAAAGTCACGTAGAAGGGAAGTAATAAAATAATAAAAATAAAACATAATAAAATAATTCTCACGACGTTTCGGCCACAACACAAGCAGCCGTCCTCAGGTAGACGCTGTCGCCTCGACAGACCTGGTCTTCACCTGAGGACAGCTGCTTGTGTTGTGGCCGAAACGTCGTGAGAATTATTTTATTTTGTTTTATTTTTATTATTTTATTACTTCCCTTCTACGTGACTTTACCGAAAGAACCAAGAAGATGAATCCCTGCAGTCACGGAAGCTTTGAATCGAGATGTTAACTACCTCGCCTGGTATACAGGAGGTCGTGGGTTTGATCCCGACCCTGATGCCTGCTGTATATTTGGAGCTTGCATGTTCTCCCTGTGGTCGTGTGAATTTTTCTCCTGGTGCTAAGCTTTTCTCTCCACATTCAGAAACATCCCTTCAGAGTATTTGGCTGCTATAAATTTCCACATGATAAGTCACTTCGTTGGACTATCATTTGTGGCTGGGTCGCTTCCGGAATATAACTATATAGCTCAGCGGGCCTTACCTGGTAAAATAAAGAATATTTATGAAAACTTTTTTTTTTAAACACGCTTTAATGAAATGTATCGTACGAGTAATGGAAGAACTCTACGACTCCAGGAAGTGGCCCCGACGCTTGCCACAACGTAAGGGGCCGTGGTGATTTACAGCCAACGTCAGTTGAGCGTGGACAATTAGACCCAAGCCGAAGCATAACATATAAATGAATGTTTTAAAATATATATTCTTTATGATAGAATATAGTATTGTCATCAGTATGACATAAGTATACCAAGTTTGCAGTCAATACCACATTGGGAAGTGGGTTAAAATGTAGTTACAAGATTTGAGGACACAACAACGACAACAACAATAATAAATAAAGCGTGTAAAAATAGTTTGTAGTTTAGTTTATGGTCGACAACCACAGAGGTCCATGCTAAGCGTCCCAAGGAGGCTCCTGGCATGGGCCCACACCCACTGGGGGACACCAGGGTTCACATCCTTCACCCTGGCATGTTCACCTTAAACGTGGCATACATTTATATTTAATACTATTTATTCTGTTGTTGTTTAATATCGATGTACCTGATGTAAATTTTATGACAGAGATCGCAGATGCTCAAGTCGTCCTTTTATACTGCCAAATAAATCTCGTAAATTTTTACTTTATTTTAGAACGTTTAATTTGAATGAGGTAACACAAGTACCCAAACAGCCAGACCAGTCAACAACTGCTTCAAACTGTAACTCTCCTCAAACTGACCACATTACTCCAAAACTACCTTGTCCCTCCCGCAGCCAGATCAATCATTAGCAAAGTGCATGTCCACAAATGACCTGCCCCAGCAACTCCTCACTGGATGTTTAATATTTAACAACGCTAAGCTTGCGTGTCATTAATGATTAGACAGTTAACTTAACAGTATTTGACATTTGTGTTTTGTAATTACGTATTTGTCGTGTTTGTATTAGAATAGTCTCAAGTTGATCGAGCCTTTGTATGTTCAACTGTTGCACTGTGCCTAGCCAACTGTGCTCATCGGAGGGGTGCCGCCGGGGGAAAGACACGTACGCAGTGCGATGGAGAACTCCTAGAATGTTCGCAGGAACAGCTCAAGGCCCTCATCCCAATCCCCTGGAGCTGTGCCGAAACCAACCTCTGGTTTCACGAGCCTCAATGTATACGCCGCCTTGGCCAATCAAGAGCTACCCCCTAGGCCTCCCTGACCCCAGGAAGGCTGCAGCAGGAAGTGATGTCATCGCAGGAAATTGCATTGTCAGCATCATCGGACGCACAAGCACAAGGAGCGGAGATTTGACTCACTTGAACGTCTCAATGGGAACTAATGTCTTTACAGTGGTTAGCACACCACTATCAAGGGAAACAGCAGGTGTTTACAAGAAAAAATTACGAATATAATTATATAAATAACAATAATAATAAGTACATCATATTTTATTGCAACTGCATCCGTCACAATCAGAAACAAATATTGACCATGCAGTAAACCGCTGGAATCTGCGCTCCCTTCAACGGAGGAGGAAAAGCAAAACTCTCGTAGGCAGCAGAACCCAACATTGGCATTTAGATCCTCAACATATTGCCATTGGTGAGAATATAATTGTGACAAGTGCAGCGATAATGAACTGATTGCATTAACATAACAGTCGGGAGTTCACATGAAACAAACTTTCTTTCTTCAACGAATGTCGGAGGCCGCGGGGGACACGGACCGCCCGAGCCACACACTCACCGGGAAGTACTTCTGCACAACCACAAAGTCCGCAAAGCCCACGACGATCCAGGTGACGAGCGTGAGGGTGGACAGCAGCACGACGGTCGGCACGAAGTAGCCACTCAGTCGGTCGGCCAGCTGCTGGATGGGAGCCTGCAAGAGAGCGGACGGACCGTAAGTACCGCCGCCGTAGCTGCCTTTTGGTCGTAGCGGAGATCGCACGTGACACGGCCTATCGTGTCACGCAGGTGGTTGCCCGGTCACACTCGATTTCAAGCAAGAGGGACTTCAGAAGAATGCCACGGCGTGCGACGGCTTCTGATGCCCGACGACTCGGCTCACCGCTGTGGTGCAGTGGCTCACGGCCACGGTTCATTGCAAAGCACAAAGTATAGCATTTCGATCGTTGTCAACAAAGGCAGTACAATAGGGTTCAGAAACGCAGAAAGCCGAGGGAGATTTGTCTCTGTTCACATGATGGTGTGAAGTGTAGACATTTCCTGACATGAGCACCTATCATCAACCAAGTCATCGCTTCCAAGTTCTTCAGGCAACTTAGGAAGTTCCCTGCTTCATAACTAATGCGACACGCACGCGAGACTTGCTCTCTCACAACTTTGCAATGGGTCGTTCCATTTAAATTTATAAGGTGCATGCATATACATTAATTTACGTGCTCACCAACGGTTTTTTTCATTAATAGACATCAAGCGGAATATTGCATGCAAACGACAAAGTAACGTATCAATTACATATTTGAGAGGAATTTATCCAACGGAGCGTGCAAGTCCAGTCGCCGCGCCACGACTGTGCGTGACCCCCGCGAGCCTCACCTTTGACGTCTGCGCCTCTTCCACGAGGCGGACGATCTGGGCCAGCGTGGTGTCCGCGCCGACGTGCGTCGCCTCCACCAGCAGCGACCCCATCTGGTTGATGGAGCCGGCGATCACCAGGCTGCCTGGGCCCTTCGACACGGGCATCACCTCCCCTGCGGGGCAAGTGGCGAACGCTCCGTCAGAGAACCCGCAATCACTTCCCGTGAACAAAACTCGCAAAAGTCCTCGCGTTTCTCAACGCCATCAGCGGTGCCGATTAATTCGTTTGAGACAAACTTGATTTGGCGCTTTCGTGACTGCAGGAATTACTCTTTGGTTCTTTCGGTAAAGTCACGTAGAAAGAGAAAATTATAAATTGAATAATAGTGTACGACGTTTCGATTGCAACACAAGCAATCATCATCAGGTACAAATGAAAAAGAAAACAAAACCTAGTACACTTAGAAATATAATGCAATACAACACCGATAGTCGGCTAACATAACAGTCAACACCCTACCAGGTTTTGTTTTCTTTTTCATTTATACCTGATGATGATTGCTTGTGTTGCAATCGAAACGTCGTACGCTATTATTTAATTTATTATTTTCTCTTTCTATGTGACTCTGCCGAAAGAACCAAAGAGTTGTCTGAGACAATTAAAGAAGGCGTGTCGCAACGTCGATGGTGCGAGGCTGTGGTGCGCTCCTCTACGGTGGTGGCCCGAGGTAGAGGAAGTGCACATCGCCTGCCCACAGGCTGCCACTCAGAGGGACGAGTGGCTGGGCTGAGCCCGAAAATGGGGAAAATGTCAAAACTGGGTGGTTTTTAACTTTTGCCGACAAAACTGGATCCCAAATGTCAAAACTGGGTGGTCTTGGAAAACGACAGGCAAAACAGGGTGGTGCTTTTTGATATGACAAAACTGGGTGATGTTCAATGTGGACAAATGTCAAAACTGGGTGAAGAAGGTGTACGATTTAATGTATCATTTTGTACACGTTTAGGTCCTTGCGTTATTCATCCATATGTCGCCACAGATTTAGAGCGTTCCAAATGATGTTTCTCGTGGCTCATGTTCCATACCTTGCACCACAAACTTCCCGTTTGCATACTGGCACAGTGTGCCAGCTCGCTTACTTGCCGTTTGTATACTGGCACAGTGTGCCAGCTCGCTTACTTGCCGTTTGTATACTGGCACAGTGTGCCAGCTCGCTACTACAGTAACACTTACTTGCCATATGTATACTGGCACAGTGTGCCAGCTTGCAACTACAGTAACACTTTCAGCTCGCGAACATACACGAACTTGCCATTTGTATACTGGTACAGTGTGCCAGCTTGCATGCTACACCTACTACAGTAGAACAACGGTAGATAGTGTTTGCGTCGAGAAGTATGGTGCTGCACACTTAGAACAAAACATGTTTGTTACATATATATAACTACTTCGACGGGCAAGAGCGCTTGTTGTGGCCCTTGGCGCGACAGAAGGAGCACCGCGTGAGGCCCAATGGGCCACCTTCGCCACGGTTGCGAATCCGACGCTTCTTCGAGCGGCCAGCCTTCTTCTGGCGAGGAGGTGGCATCATGGTGTTGTCGCGTTGCAGCTCCTCGGCAATGGGCAGCTCGATACCGGCAACCGAGGTCCATGTCGTGTTGATGGCAGAGACTTGGTAACACACCGCACATGCGTCGTAGAGCTCGGGCATCCGCCCAAACGCCATGAGGGCACGAATATAGTGCCGACACGGCAAGCCCATCTGCTTCATGTACCCGCACGTGCACGACCGAGAGCTGAGATCGACTCGGCGCTTGGCAGAGGCGTAGGCGTCTGGATCCTTGACGTATGCACGCGTCGAGGTACTCTCGTAGACCTTGTACCTCGGGGCCAACGCCTGCTGAGCGTCGATGAGTCCTCGAGCGTACGGCGTAATGACACGCCCTTGAGCGGCCCACTTCTCGGCGTCGCTGCGGTGGGCAAAGGCCGTCGTCATCATGTCTTCCATGTGGTGCATGAGGAAGTGGAAGGGGTCCATCTCGCGAGCCGGCAGGGCCTCGCTGTTCGTGGACTCCACAAAGTTCGTCGTGCGCCAGCCGTACAATGGCGTCATGTGCAGGTGCGGGTAGAGCGCCCACGTGTGGGGGTCGATCTTGTTGTAGTACGTGGCCGCCGCAGGCAGAGCTACGTCCAAGCAGCCCAAGGAGCTGCGGAACGCGGCCTCAGAGGCGCACCCTTGAGCATCGTAGATGATGCCTTGGAGGTCGGGCGTGAACGCGGAGCCGATGTTGTCCACGCCGTTGCAGATCAAATGCCGCGTGCAGTGGATGAGCATGAGGTCCTTCCAGTCGGAGGCTAGGATGCCCGTGCCACGATCGCAGAAGACCGGCGTGCCGTCGAGCTCGATGTCGTTGGTCGTGCAGCAGTTGAGAAACCAGTCGTAGGCCGCTGCCGTCTCGGACGGCACCAGCGCCACGGCGAGAAGGACGTTGCGGTTGTTGCCGTCGCGCCCAACGAGGACGAGCATGGTTCCGTTGTAGGCGCGCGCCTTCATGTGCGACCCGTCGATGCCGACGACGCGTTGAAGACTTGGCTGCAACGAGCGTGCGATCGGGTTGCAGATGAACGCACCCCAGAAGATGCCCGCGTCTTCTCGCACACTGCAGGTCGTCGCGTTGAGCTTGCCGAACGTCTCCACCAGCGAGTTGATGAACTCGAAGCCTGCATGGGCCGCACTCTCGTTCGCCGCGATGCACGTGTCCTTGGCGCGGTACATCATCCGGGTCGGGACAATGACGCGAGCAACGTCGGCGACCTGGGCAATGACAGTCGGTGCGGAGGTACGGGGGTTGGCGCGAAAGGCCGAACGGGCTGTCGTGTTCGCCTCCACTTGGCGCTGCGTGATCTTGGTAGTGCCCGTGCAGCCGTGGTGATCCGTGCACAGCGCCGAGACGCGGAAGCCGCGTCGTTCCCCCGTGACCTTTGTCAGCTTCACCTTGAAGGAACAAGGTGTTGAACTAGAGCAGACGATGGCAACGTGCCATCCGCCGCTTCGCTTGAGGTCAAGGACCGCGCGCTTGCCTTGTTGCAAAGCAAAGTCTTGGATGCCGTGGATGGCCTCGCGGCGCGTGGTAAAAGTCTTCTTGGGGTGGAGGGTTGCCATTCGAATGTGAGCCGCTCCTCCACCTGTTTCGTGAAAAATGCTTGTGAAAAATCACGTTTCTACGTCTACTTTCAATTTTTCACGAGACAATATGTCTATTTTCATTGCCAGCAATTTGATTTTTCACACAATATTTCCGCCAATCACCGTAACGGTGGGCCAAAGGATTGACCAATCAATGAGATGCGCATTCGTTGGTTTGTTCCGCACCATTGGGACCATGGTCAGGAGCGTCAAGCAGGCTGGTCCATCTCCCAAGGACGTCGCCTTTGTCTCTGTGCTTGGTCGTTTGGCGGGCTATGGTCGAATCCATGGCAAATTTAAGGGTGTACAGTAGCGCGTAGCATCAACCAACAATCCAAAAGTTTGGTATTGACGCGAGTCACTAGTCTAGGTCATCACGCAAGGTGGCAGTGCGCCCGCCTGGTCGCAAGCCCGCCCCGAGCTCACTTCCGAGTCCGAGCCGTAGCTTGAAATGTTGGTCGTTGGGGTGCTGGCACACTGTGCCAGCGTACAAATATCAAGTGTGTGTAGTTATATGGTGCTGGCACACTGTGCCAGCATACTAATACCAAGTGTTTAGATGAATGGGGTGCTGGCACAGTGTGCCAGTATACAAATACCAAGTGTTTTGATGAATGGGGTGCTGGCACACTGTGCTAGTATACAATTATCAAGTGTATTTGACAAATGTCAAAACTGGGTGCACCCTGAGTGTCCAAAACTCAAGTTTTTGGCCACCCAGGGTGCACCCAGTTTTGACATTTGGGATCCAGTTTTGTCGGCAAAAGTTAAAAACCACCCAGTTTTGACATTTTCCCCCCGAAAATGCCTTATCTTCTTACGTTTCATTTATAGTCCGAGTCTGCTCTGCCACAGCACCACCCATGGGCCTGTCCGTTAAAGTTCAAACACGCTTCAGCGGCACGTGCCCCGCTGTTGCCGTTGTACGTATGTAATTTGAACTTCTTTCGCACCGTACGTGGCCAACCGTGCTAATCGGAGGCACAGGGGAAGGACAAAAGGCAGTTCTAAAGAAATTGGTTTACAATCTAGATGATGATTTAAAAGTACACAGCTCCGGTCGCTTCCTAATATCAGAAGGGAGAGCGTTCCAGACGGTCGCAGAAGCGCATCTGAAAGCGCCGCGTGATGCGGCGACCGTCTTTGTTTGATGGCTAGATCGAGGCGGAGTTCGAGCCGGAGTTCGAGCCGGTGCCAGCGCCGGGCCGGACGACCCCACAGCGCCCACCTGTGATGATCGACTCGTCCGCCATGGAGGAGCCGGCGATGACGCGCCCATCCACGGGGAAGCGGGCGCCGGGCACGACGCGCAGCGCGTCCCCTCGCTGCAGCAGCTCCACCTCCACCTGCTCCTCGCTGCACGCGCGCCGCACACCGCCGTGGCACTCAGTGACACAAAGACAAAGATCCCCCGTGTAGCCTTGACAGGCTGTTGGGGCAAGTGCTGTTGGCGAGTAGCACCTGTGAAGGCCGACACGGCAGATGAGGGGATCGGTGGCCAGCACCACGCCTGGCCGCCTTTGTCTCCCCAGTGGCCATGTTTACACACTGTACCAGATACTCATTTAAGGCTTAGTCGACCTAGGGGAGGCCCATTACTGGTTCAAATAATCGTCACGGAATCGAACTTGGGTTGCCGGGTTTGAAGCACAGCGCAAACCGCTATACTAGCGCTCCCCGCTACACCACACACACACTACACACCACACACACTCACAAACCATACGCACTGCTTACATATTCGGGCAACAATTATCCTAAATCTGTTTAAGTTTCTGTCACTCAGTTTTCCTGTAAATGGCTTAAAAATCCGACCCAACTTTCACTCGAGCAAATGAAGACTCGGTCACTCGAGTTCTAACCTGGTGAAAAATATCCACTCGAATGCAAGCTCCGAGGCCAGCGTGCACGTGCCCCACGGCCCCCGCGAGCCCTGTGGCCCACAAGTCCCGTGGCCCACAAGTCCCGTGGCCCACAAGTGCCGTGGCCCACAAGTCCCGTGGCCCACAAGTCCCTTGGCCCACAAGTCCCTTGGCCCACAAGTCCCGTGGCCCACAAGTCCCTTGGCCCACAAGTGCCGTGGCCCACAAGTCCCATGGCCCACAAGTCCCGTGGCCCACAAGTCCCTGTGGCCCACAAGTCCCGTGGCCCACAAGTCCCTTGGCCCACAAGTCCCGTGGCCCACAAGTCCCTTGGCCCACAAGTCCCGTGGCCCACAAGTCCCTTGGCCCACAAGTGCCGTGGCCCACAAGTCCCGTGGCTCACAAGTCCCGTGGCCCACAAGTGCCGTGGCTCACAAGTCCCGTGGCCCACAAGTGCCGTGGCTCACAAGTCCCGTGGCCCACAAGTCCCGTGGCCCACAAGTGCCGTGGCCCACAAGTCCCTTGGCCCACAAGTCCCGTGGCCCACAAGTGCCGTGGCCCACAAGTCCCTTGGCCCCTGCGCGAGTGACCCACCTGAGGAGGGAGTTGTCGGGGCCCAGCGTGACGAGCGTGGCCTCGGCCGCCTGCAAGGACATCAGCTTCGCCAGCGCCTCCGACGTCTTCCCCTGCGGCGATGGGCAGAGCAGCGCTCAGCCACGAGCCACTCACGTGGCGCTTCAGAGGCATACGAGACGGTGCACGAGGGAAGTACTGTACACGTGTGTGTGTGTTCAACTTGATTACTGTACACGTATGTGTGTGTGCGTGTTCAACTTGATTACTGTACACGTGTGTGTGTGTTCAACTTGATTACTGTACACGTATGTGTGTGTGCGTGTTCAACTTGTTTCGCACTGTTTACGTAGCCGACCGTGCTAATCGGACATGCGTAAAGTGTTCGTGAGGAATCTCATTGATTCGTTGAGTAAAATAAATTGTCAAGCTCATGACACATGCACTGTGTCACGCATCTAAGAAATTATCTTTTACAAGTCATGCAAACTACACGTATACGCTAATGTCCATCAGCATTAATAAGCAGGCTGCTTCCGCCACCGAAAGAGTAGCGGCGATGTTCGGTACGGGGCCCGCGTTCCAAGTCAGTCTCGACTCTCACCACACGTTGCATAAATACAACTCGACACTTTTGATTTCACCAGGTAAGGCCCACTGAGATACTATATGGCTCTTTTTCAACGACCTGGCCACAAATGATAGCCCAACGAAGTGGCTTATCACGTGGAAATTTATTGCAGCCAAATACTCTAAACGCGTGTTGATTCTAAACCTGGAGGGAAAAACCGGAGATCCCGGAGAAAAATCCACACGACCACGGGGAGAAGACACGAACTCTAAATATACAGGTGTCAGGGTTGGGATCGAACCCACAACCTCCTACATACCAGGCAAGGTAGTTGACAACTCACGATGTGCACATTTTACATTGTGTACCGCGTCTATCCATGGTTGGAAATGGTCTGAAATTGAATGCGACTCTGTTAGTGTCTGCATCTATATAATTCACAAGTGTCTGTCCGTCATGAGGAGGACCCGCACAAAAATCCACACGAGCACGGGGAGAGAGAGAGACACGAAAACTCCAAATATACAGCAGCAGGCGTCGGTGGGTCCGGCACGCTCACCTTGGCCAGGTGCTCAAGCCAGCGGCCCAGCGTGATGAACACAAAGAGCATGGGCGGCGTGTCGAAGAAGGTGAGCGGGCTGCGTGGGGCCCGCTCGGCCATGGCCACGAGGAGGATCACCACCGAGTAGACGTACGCGATGCTGGTGGCCAGCACGATCAGCACGTCCATGTTGGCCGCCCGGTGCTTGACAGACTTGTACGCTCGCAAGTAGAAGTGCCTCCCTCCCACAAACTGCCAGGGGGGACGCGACAGCGCTCGTGGCTTCCGCGGGACGCGGCGAAAGCGCGACGCGGTTCTTGCTCGGTTAATAGCCGCGTTGCGCTTTGTGAACTAAAAGCGATAAAATATTTTTTTATTTTACCAGGTAAGGCCCACTGAACCGTTGTATTGATCTTTGTCAGAAGCGACCTGGCCCTCACAAATTATAGCCCAACGAAGCGGCTTATCATTTGGACATCTATAGCAGCCAAATACTCTCAATGCATGCTGATTCTAAATGTGGAGGGAAAAAGTGGAGGACTCGGAGAAAAATCCACGTGACCACGGGGAGAACGTGCAATCTCCAAATATACAGTAGGCGTCAGGGACGGGATTGAACCCACAACCTCCTGTATACCAGGTGAGGTAGTTAACATCTCCTGGGCGAGGTAGTTAACATCTCCTAGCCACCGTGTCGTCCAAATGCATTGCTGGAACTCTCTTATAACCGTCCCTCTAAGGTAAAAGTAGTCTCAGCCCAGTAAATTGATTGCTTGTGCCACTGTCGGCGAAATTTCCTCCATTAGAGAAAGCTGTAGAGAGCCCCTCTGGAGGGTATTCGGCCTACTCTTCCACAACCTGCCAAGTGACTTAAATGTGGTGAACCCATCCACACTGCTATGTGGACAGAAGTGGAGGGCGATTTAAGAAACTTGCAACCCATTGTATCAACTTCCAAGACAGGAGATGGAATTGAATCGACGCCCTCTGAATGTCAAGTCCAGCGGGTGATTCGATTAACTTGTGAACTAGTGGTTTTACAGACGAGCATTGAGAATGACTGGTAAGACAAAGCAGGGCCGATCACAGAGACCAACTCCTGGGAAGATGCACAAAGCGCAAGGTGCATCATCGTACCTGTACAGGGGTGCAGAGCGCAAAGAAAACCAGGTTGATTGTGGAGAGCCCAGGGAGGACCATGTGATTCATCAGATAGTTGTGCTTCTTTTGGGAGTCCATCACGATCATGTAGATCATCAGAGCCATCACCGGGGTGCCAAACAGCAGGTTCAGCAGGAAGGCATTCCGCCATCTAGAGGGAAGGTGCTTGTTCTCAACGGGGCATTCGCGTTGGCGTTCAACATCCTCTCCCACCTGTCGTATGCGTTCATCTTTAGCCCGGTGTTACATGTGCAGAGCCGATGGGGGGTCACATCAACATTTTAGACCTTCGGAGTCCAAACACCCTAATTAGGAGGACAGAGCAAATCGATCCAGCGACAAGATGTATGGGATATAATAGATTAGTCTGCAAAGCATCATAGGATATATTAATATGCTACAAAAACAAAACAACAAGTATATTTAAAACTGAATTATTGAACATTTCCGGCAAGAGACGTTAGTCCGGCTGCCCAGTGCGAAGACGCTGAATGAGTTGCTACCTCCTTGTGAGCTCATCGTCAGCCCAGCGTCACCCGTCTAGACACCACTTGGCTTGGATGGAGCGCATTACCGCTTGACTTTTACACTAAAAACTACACCGCTGTGTGAGCCACTCTAGTTGCCTGCTTCGTAAAACATCACCACCTGTGATGGCCAACGAGCCTCCTGACCAGAGAATGAGGTTAAACGAAGATCACACTGCGTGACCTGGGGTGGGGATGATAAATGTACACGGACGAAATTCCATCCCTTAGAATAATTCCATCCCTTTAAATTTCAATGCTTCTTGATCGCGTCCTTTTTAAAATGTACTATTGGGGCACGCTAAATACATTTTGAGTCACATTAATGGGCCAGCAAATTTAGTGGAATGCAGTTTGGAAATGGAAAATTAAGAGCACTGTTGTTTTAACGACGTAAAAAGAGGGAGAGAACCTGAGTGATTGTAATGAAATTTGATTACGGACAAAACTGCGAAACAGAATGGAAAATTACGCCTAAGCTACTTAAGGTTATAATTGGAGCCTCGCAGAATATCACCATTAACCCCTAGTCCCTGCAGAGGAGAGGTGGACGAGATGAGATTAGTTTTGCCTTGTACAGTAAAGCCCTACGGCTGACAACAACAACAACGCTCAGTTAAAATAAACGACGCTCGGTGTGGATTGCGACAAAACTCTGTGCAAGTGGTGTAACGCGTGCTGCCCCACACACTGCCTGATCTCGTCCGTGTGCTCCAGGTGGCTGGTGTCACGGCAATCTTGCTTGACCAGGGCCGCCGTGTAGCCCATGCGCTGTTCAGCCGCGGTAAGAGCACAAACGGGGGAACATCGCGTCAGAGACGTGGAACGCAGGCCAGCACGAGACACGCGAGCGCTTGTTCGCCCCATTACATTACGCAGTAAAAACACAGGAATGACGCGGGATAATGTTAAGGCATTCCTGCCGTGTTATCGACTCCTTGTCTTTAGATGTAAACGTGACAGAACCACGAGGAGGTTCATTGAGACCATTTCCTTCAAAACATTCCAGAAAAATAACATGCCTCCATGACAATTTGGTATTGTGCTATTGAGGCATTGTGACCTCACGGTGGCTAGGAGATGATAACTACCTCGCCTGGTTTGCAGGAGCTCGTGGGTTCGATCCCGACCCTGATGCCTGCTGTACATTTGGAGTTTTGCGTGTCTCCCTCCACGTGGTCGCGTGGATTTTTCTCCGGGTCCTCCGGTTTTTCCCTCCACATTTAGAATATTTTGCAGCTATAAATTTCCACACAAAAAGCCACTTCGTTGAGCTATCATTTGCGGCCAGGTCACTTCTGAAAAAGAGCTACACAGCTCAGTGGTGTCTTACCTTACAGAATAAAAATAGTTGATTTGAGCTCATTTTCTGTTGTGTAAAAAGGGCTCGCGGCAGGGCTCCTGGCCATTTGAGAGAACCGACGGACGAGCCACTCCAGGTCCCTCGTTGTGAAGTCAACCGCGAGCGCACAGAGCAGCCGGCGGCTCTCACCTCGACGATGAGGATGATGCCTCGGGGTCCGATCTTCTCCGAGTCAAATTCCACGCGGGCCCTGCCCGTCGCCAAAGCGACCGAAGCGGTGAAGACGCCGTCGTTTTGGAGCAGAGTGGACTCGATGCCGTGCACGCACGACGCGCACGTCATCCCCGTCACCTGGGGCGGGACGCATCCAACCAGCGGTGGCACACTCAGCGCTCCGGCACGCAGCACGGCGACACTCACACACAGCACCCTGTGACACTGACACACAGCGCAACGGCACGCAGTGCTGTGACACTCAGATAAACCTTTCGCTGAATTTCGAGACTACAAACTCAGATCTAAAAGCCAACAACTCAGCAAATTCACTCATGACAGCTTGTGCAATTAGTACAGTCACAGCCCATCAGATGTCAGAGCAATGTGCATCTACATTTCATGCACATGTTGTGTATCTCTTTAAACACGAACATACGGTGTAAGTTGTATGTATGCATGTACGTTGAACTTTTTTCGCACCATACATTAGCCAACCGTACAAATCCGGGAGCGATCACCGCGCGGGGGTCTGCGCTCGCTTTCGGGAACTCACGGTGAGCTCGACGACTCCGTTTGAGCCCTCCAGGTTGACGTCCACGACGTCGGCCCCGAAGCCCATCCACCGCACCCAGGCGGCGATCTCCTCGGGGCTCGTCAGCGCCGGGTCGTACTTCACCTCGGCCTTGCCGGCAATCAGGGCGACGAGCACCGACAGGATCCCTGCAGACGGGGCCCACCGCGCACGATGGCGGCAGCGGCACGCACCGGAAACTCGCACGTCCACTCGCATTTGGGCGGCAGAATAGTCCCTCGATCTGCTCTAGAGTTTCAGGGTTAACCCCAACGTACGGCGAGGATACCCCCCCCCCCCTCCCGGTTTACGTCTGCCCCCCTTTACATCGTTTCGCAAACACGTCGTCATTTTATGAACCCTTTCCCCTGCCGATGGCGTACGTGTGCACCGTCAGTTTTTCTTCCGATTCCGTGCGTTTTACGTCATCGGAACGTAAACGATTCTGTTTAGAGTCGAATCAGTTTTGAATGGAATCAGAAGTAAAAGGCCATGCGGGAGGGCGCGTGGCACAGTTTAGGTGCCAGCTATCTCAGGGTGCGATCGTGTCGCTACAGTCCCTTGTGGCGAGTACAGTAGAATATCTTTAAAAACAGCAACTCTACGTCTCTCAATAAAATTAACGGCGAGCCGCTCGCACGTTCCGAGATTCAGCGGTTAATGGGACATCCACCCTGCAACTTGCAGACGTCTCAGAACGAGAAAGGGTTAACACCACTATCCAATTTGCGTCACCTCAACCTGCACTCACGTCGCTGACATCACCATCCGTCGCCTCTCAGCCTTCGCCCCCACCTACCCTGCACATGAACCACTTTGTGACGCTCAACAAGACATGTACCGTACTGTAGACTACAATACTGTATATTATTTATGTCCAGTATTTTGGCGATTTGGAAAAATATGCTTTGATTTGCGTCGTTTCGATGTTGGTCACACCTTTTAGGAATGCATCTCCCTCATAAACTGGGGTAATTACTCCATTTGCGGTCCAAACTCATTGGCGGCATTCTTCATTAACCGTGTGTTCCAGCGAAGTGGACAGTATGTCATTACGAAATAATCCAAAAGAACCCTTCTTTGGAAAAAAAATGAGATGGCAGAAGATTTTGACTGCTGTATGACAAGCTCGAGGGGGGCTCTGTGGAGATCCGTCTAGCGGAGGCCCTTCCACCAGCAGTGGCGTCAGCAAAGCATTGCAGGGCTGCACCTTAACATTCTCCACTTAACACGGAGAGAAGCCATTCGTTAGATATCAAAGGAATAGTTATTTAGAATAAAAAAATATATTAAAGACTGCAAATTACGTTAAAAAAACACTTTAAGAAAATATGACCAAAAATCTGCCCAAAAGTTGGTCCAGTGCATTCTGGGAACCACATGAGTGACGCCACCACCAGGATAGGCTGTTTTGTACGGGCTGGAGAGGCGGCACAGTGGTCAGCACGCTGCTTGATGAGTTTGGTTTCTGGCCACGGCGAACATCAGTGGCGTCAGTTGCGGCTCCTGCAAAATCTCTCAGGGGGGGCAAATGTCTGGATGATTGATAAGGATAAGGTCCACCCATGCAATGGATAAATTAACAGCTTAAGCATGTAAAGGCAACTTCACTTCTTTAATATTAATGAAAAATAAAGTGACTCTTACAATACATCTTGTTTGTTTCTATACTCACTATTAAAACAAACCACTCAAGTTTATTTTATTAAAGATTCCACTAGATTTTGATTTAAAACTTTCGTGACTGCAGGGATTCATCTTCTTGGTTCTTTCGGTAAAGTCACGTAGAAGGGAAGTAATAAAATAATAAAAATAAAACATAATAAAATTATTCTCACGACGTTTCGGCCACAACGCAAGCAGCCATCCTCAGGTGAAAACCAGGTCCGTCGAGGCGACAGAGTCTGAATGAAACAGCACACGAGCTTGGAGCATATATATAAGCTGGGCGCCTTGACAAAGGAATTTGCATATAAAAGAGGAATTTAGCATATTTATGGGAAATGCAGGAATGTGATTAGTACTACATATGCATGTGCATTATGCAGGATTAACAGCATCACAGGGAGCTGCAGTTGCTGCTGCTGCTGCAGTTGCTGCTGCTGCTGCAGTTGCTGCTGCTGCTGCAGTTGCTGCTGCTGCTGCAGTTGCTGCTGCTGCTGCAGTTGCTGCTGCTGCTGCAGTTGCTGCCTTATCCATTTTAATATAACACTATGTATTATTCTACCCACCCTAATGTGTATCACACTGCTATATATTTACTATACAATTACGACACCATACATTACTCTGCACACTGCACCATGCCAGTGAGTGGAACGTTGTGGCCGAAACGTCGTGAGAATAACTTGCGTTGTGGCCGAAACGTCGTGAGAATAATTTTATTATGTTTTATTTTTATTATTTTATTACTTCCCTTTACGTGACTTTACCGAAAGAACCAAGAAGAAGATTCCACTAAGTGGCGATAAATTATATTGTTGGATGAAACGTGCTTACGTATGAGGACGTTAGCACGTATGATGACGTAAGCACGTTAGGGCTTGCCCTCCCGGAAGCCATAGAGAATGCATTGGAGCGCCCCCCGGTCGAAAAAAAACATCTTTCAATGTAAGTCTATGGGGCCACTCGGGGCGATTCTCAGCCGGAGTGAAATCGCCCAAAAAGAGGCGGTACTCCACATAACGTGACATGACGCTGATTGGACTATATCCAGAGGCTGACAGTGACGTCTAGCGTGACTCTGTGGTTCAATGACATTGGTGGTGCGTCGCCCAATCGCCCTAATGAAGAAACCGCCCCTGAGTGGCGTGTGTATGTATGGACGGACGCATGTTGAACTTCTTGCAGACCGTACGTAGTTAACCCCCTTCATCAAACCTGTGGTCCAGTATGGTCAACCAAGCCTCGTGGACGACACAGTGCGAAGCAACTTTGACAAAGCTGTTGCTTCACAAAGGGCCGTGAATTGTTGCTATTGGTTCCATTTTGCTATTGTTTCCATGTTGCTATTGTCTGTGAATGCAGGGATGGGGAGCAGTGGTGGAGTGGTTAGCACGCTGTGCTACGAACCCGGTGACCCGAGTTTGATTGCTGCTCACGGCCAACTCCAGTGACTATCATCTGAACCGGTCCAGAGCCTCCCCGAGGTCAACTCACTTTAAGATGTTTTTTGTTCATGTTTTAGTTTTTTTGTTTGTTGCGGTTGCACCCGATTCAAGAGCCGTAAGGCTCACAGGGCTATACCTAATAAATGAACTTGAACTTGAACTCAGTGTCAAATGGGTAACCTGGTGCGATGTGTAAAACATCACCACTAGGGAGACAAAGGTGGCCAGGCATGGTGCTGGCCACCCACCCTCTCATGTGCCATTGCGGCCTTCATTAGGTGCTCGCTAACAGCACTTGCCCCAACAGTCTGGAAAGGCTAAACTGGGGGATCTTTGTCTTTGTCTCTCGTAGCGTTCGTTCACTGCCCACAGCGAGCACCTCCGGTGGAGCGATAGCGTCGCCTCTGTAGGTAGGGTCAGGTAACAATACTTGAACACGCGACGCTAAAAGCCCAGGCTCAGTTTTTAGGTGTATTGTTCCTCATCTAAACAAGTGCACACTCGTTTCTACAGTGCATTTACAGACACTAAGCAAAGGACAAAGATCCCCTGTATAGCCTCAAAAGACTGTTGGGGCAAGTGCTATTAGCGAGCACCTATGGCCGGAATGGTAAACGACAGGGTGGGTGGCCAGCACCACGGCCACCCGGCTTTGTCTCCCTAGTGGCGATGTTTACTACACACCACAACAGGTACTCATTTGTGGCTTAGTCGACCTAGCAGAAGCCCAGGACCAGTTCAAATCATCGTCACTGGTGTCGGCCATGAGCGGGAATCGAACTAGCGCAGCGTGCTAACCCCTACGACCGCTTGTTTCCACAGTGCATTTGCAGATACACACACGTCATGTGCACATGGATCCAGAAATATGCATGCACAAGCAAATGCTATATATTATATCAAATCGCAGGGCAAATCCATGGAAAAATACAAGTACCGAAAGGACCTCTCATAAAATGAATGCAATTGAACCAGTAGAGAGCCTCTGCTTTTACAGGAACTGCACAATCGGATACCTCAGGCAAATGTCATTTAGTACTAAATCAGCCAACGCGTCTCCCTGCTCAACAACTAGAGAGGTGACACTCGATTCTGTCAGTCGTCCTCAGCTAGCGGTGGAGAGGCCACATTCCCATGACAGGAGCAAGTCCCTCTGCGTCTTGAACATTGTTGTTGACTGTCCACAAAGTGGTAGACGTTTGATGAGCCCAGGAGGATGACACTTGGTTGAGCCCAGGCGGCGATATGAACTCCACAATGATAATTGTTTTTTTACCCTTTTATCTGGCAACAAAACTGACACCAGATAAAAGGGTAAAAAAACAATTATCATATTTTGCTACTGGAAAAGGAGGTTCCAATGGTGTAAATGCTTACCCCGAGCTCTCATACTCTGATGGTGCATTGTCTTTGAGTTGTACGCCTTTTGGCGTCATCTGGTCCAACACGATGTGAGACGAGGCTCTAAGAAAAGCTGGCTCGGGTGTGGACCAATCAATTTCAAGGACAGTGCATACATTATCAGAGTTGTGTTTTTTTTTGCATTCCAACCGCAGGTATTGTGGCCAATGCAAACATGACTCCTTGTAAAAAAAGGTAGTCAGTTTTGTTGCCAAATAAAAGGGTAAAAAAACAATTATCATATTTTGCTACTGGCAAAGGAGGTTCCAATGGTGTGAACTCCACAATCTCATCCGTCTCTCTCGGATCATGCGTCTGAATGTGCACATCACTGAGGATCTTTTCACGTGACTCAAATCGCAAAAAAATGGATGCCGCATGCCGTGGTTACAATGGTCATCCGTAAGACACCGAACGTCACCCACAAAGCACGTGGGGGTCTCTTGCATCGCAGCGCTCGACCACGGATTGGCTGCTGGATGCTTCTAGATGTTACCCACGCGCCTCAGTCTTTGTTCGGCCTGCGTTACGCATCTCACACGTTATCCTGGACCGTGCTTTATCCCATAATCCATATTATTTATTGTAACTTGATTGTTTTTCCATAATGCGATGTTCTTCAGGAACACAACTAGTATGGCATTATAGGAGAACAGACTGTACTGCATGGGGAGGCGTGGTGGACGTTATTCATGACGACAGTGGCGGTGTCGAGTGTTGCCTTCACCCACCGTCCTTCTTCTTCAGGTTGTTTTCGATATTGGCCACGCAGGAGGCGCACGTCATGCCGCTGACCCGCAGGAGGCACTTCTCAGGCTCCCGCGCGGCCTCGCGCTCCCCGCTCGGCTTGGGCGGCAGCTCGCTGATCACGTAGTCGGGACGCTGCCCCCCCTCGCACCCCACCTTGGGCGGCGTCGGCGCACCCCCCACGTCCTTCTCCCTGCACCCCCGCGGGGCCTGCACGGAGTCACGTCCATCTAGAGGGCAGAACGCGTGGGAGACTATCAGCGTCTAGAGAGTAGACCACGTGATAGAGCTGTAAACTCAAAATATTATGAACGTATACATATTCAGCAATGAAGATGATGAATAAGTTACAGTACCCAGTTTACAGGCGACCACCGAACCTACGACCTAATTGATTCCCCCTTATCTCCCTAAGGTGAATTGGAGTTCCATTCCTGGAAACCCATTACATACGATAAAATATCAAAATTGACCACGAAAATGAATTAAAATAACCCAAACACACATTTATTGTAACTTAACGTAAAAATCTAGATTGAACTTAACATAACTTTTACAAAACATATAATAAGTAAAAACAAACACTTACATTTGAAAATCAGTAAGCACTTTTCTGCATGTGCATCACATTTCCTCTTCTCAGACATAACGAAAGGTTAAAATTTTCTCAATTTGAAGAAAATTTACAAATAAAATAATTAATATTTTAAAAAACTTTTTAAAAACACGCTTTAATGAAATGTACCCTACTAGTAATGGAAGAACTCCACGACTCCAGGAAGTGGAGTCGTGGAGACCCAAGCCGAAACATAACATATAAAAAAGAATATTAAAACATTTTTAATGATAGAATATAGTATTGTCATCAGTATGACATAAGTATACCAAGTTTGCAGTAGATACCACATTGGGAACTGGGTTAAAATTGAGTTACACGATTTGAGGATACAACAACAACAACAACAGAGTGAGTTGATGTTACCGGTGAGGGGGGGGGGGGGGCGTTACCGGTGAGAGTGGCGCCATAGCCCATGTCCTCGACGGCGCCCTGTAGGATCTCGGGGCTCGTCACACCTCGGTCGTAGGAGACGGTGGCCGTCCCGTCGCCCAGGGAGACGCTCACGGATCGCACTCCCGCACGCTTGGCCAGGCCCCCTTCGACGTTTTGCACGCAGGAGTCGCACGTCATGCCGGCGACACGCAGCACCACCGTCGGGTTGTCGGTGCGCGGAAGGGAAAACGTGGTTTCACTTACGGGCACCGGCTCCTTCACCGCCCCCTTGGCGCACCTGCTGAGCAGGCTTCGGTACACATTTGGCGAGGGAAGATCTGTGCTCCTCAGCCCGAAGGAAACGGAGAGATTCCCAGGAGGGAGGCTTTCTATGGCTTGTTTTAAATCAGCCGGTCCTATAAGCGTTGGATTGTAACGGATATCGGCTTTACTTTCAGACAGAGATACCTCTATGCTGTAAACCGCCGCCAGTTCTCCGACGTGACTTTCTATGTTGTTGACGCACGACTTGCAATGCATGCCTTCCACACCTAAAGTTATCGTGGTACTTTGAATAACCTCGCCGGGCGGTGCAGACGATTGCGGATCCGCAGGCAACGCCCGTGACTTCTCCCTGGCCTGGATCTTTTTCAACGGCGATTTTGGCAACAGCACAGCGAACCCCAATGCCTCGATCTGCCTCCGCAGCTCCGAGGCAGTTAATCAGGTGAGATTTATAGCCGACCCGCACCTCCTGGCTGGCGAGAGAAGCTTCGACGTGCTCCACCCCCGGCAGCTTGGCGAGCGCGCTCTCAACGTGGCGGGCGCACGTCTGCCGCTTCATGCCCTCAACCGCCACGACCAGCGTGGCGAGGCCCGGCTGCCGCCGACTGGCCTGCAGGGTGGCCCGGTAGCCAAAGTCCTCTATTCTCTGGCAGATCGCATTGGCGCCCGTGAGCTCCGGCAAAAAGGTCACGGTCATCTTACGGCGCGCGTCCTCGGCCTCTTCGCTTGGCAATCGGGCGACGTCTGTCGCCGTGACGCCGCGCAGGGAGGCCGCGAGGTCCGCCAGGGAGCGCCCGCGAAGCTCGGCGGACGGCGTGGCGCCGGTGACCAGGATCTCGACGGACTCGGTGTCGGCCGGGAACCTGGAGCCGTCGCCATCGAGGTTTAGTGACGCCTCGAAACCGGCCTGCTCCACGGCCTCCAGGAGGCTCTCGGGCGCCTGGCGCCGGGCGTCGTACAGCACGCGGGCGCTCATGTCGCGCAGCGACACCTGGCGCGCACACGCAGACCTTCTCACGAGCCTCGCAACAACAAACCAACCCCAAGGTAACGCACCCCGCCTGCAGCTCGTTGTTTAGGTTGATAAGCCACTTCAATCAGCTATCATTTGTCGACAGGTCATTTATGAAAAAAAGCTACATAGCCTTGTGGGCCTTACCAGGAAAAAATATATAGTCCATAATAGAGGTGTTTTTGGGTTAGATCGCGTAAATATATAAATGTATTGTTAAACCCACCACCACCCGACACAACCAACTAGTAAGGGTTGTCACGTAAACAGAACGTGGCCAATTCGTCACTAGTACAGCACACCGGTGTGTTGGAGAGCCAAGCCACAACATTTACAATCTGAGTATGACGTTTCGCCAGTAAATTACAACAAGCTTCATCAGGCGACAGTCAGATTTGTGAAGAAGTCCACCAATACAGGGTTTTTTTTTTATCAGAGGTGCGGCACATTGCTCCAAGCGAGGTTGAACAACTGCTTGTGATCATCCTCCCTTCTCCTCCCACTCATCCATCATCTCACCTCTTGCCCACTACGCCACTCTCTTCCGCCTCTCCACCCTCTCACCCACCGCCCCGCCCCCCCTCATTGACCCACAGCATGTGAGTGTCGGTTCGAAAGAAGTTCAACATACATACACACATACACAATACAATCTTGCAGGAATTCATACTCTTTAGGTCTTTCGTGACTTTATGAATTCCTGCAGTCACGAAAGCTTGAAGTCAAGATTGAACCGCCTCTACGGGGAAGGTTTCCACACAACCAGTATATATGTGAACAGACTCCGAGACAAGAGGGCTCTCTAGATCGAGTCGCTCACTTCTCTGAAGAGATGCCGGGACACCAAGGTAACACCGATCGCATTTACACTCACATCTGCTGCTGTATGCTAATATCTAGCAACACAATAGCCGAGGTATTCCTAGCTCTGCGATCTTACATTTACTTTCAAATTCCATCTCTAGCCCCGCCCACTTACCCTTGGGGTTGTACCCATCTCAAACCTTTACAGGTAGTCCTCTACTTACGATGGAGATGCGTTACAACGACCCCATCGTAATTCAAAAATATCATACGTCTTGATGGCCTAGCCTACCCAGGAGTCTTAAAGAATGGTGATAATTTAGCAAAACAGAGCAGTTTACAGTACCGTACTGTATCAACTATATACTGTATGTATTTATTAATTACAATACGGTATTGCACAGTAAAATGTAAAGTAAAAAAAACAAGGTAAATTCTTAGCCTACCGACTATGAACTGCAATTTAACAGAAAGTTGTTTCAGGAAACAATCCTATCTGCTATAAAATATTTTTTTTTAACATGCATTGAATGTACCGTAACGTATCATATTGTACTGTACTCACCACGATTCGTACGCTTCTGGGTTTGGCTGACTCGCGAAATTTAAAATATTTTACAATTTTGTCGTATCGCTATCGCCATCGTAAGATCGAAATATCGTAAGTCGGACCATCGTTACTCGGGGACTATCTGTATAACCTTTGGCTGCAGTAGCTCTCTCGCTACATTTCTTCCTGCCTCAGCAGTCCGCCTGCTGTATTTATTCACCTGAAGACGATTGCTTGCGTTGCAATCGATACGTCGTGATTGTTTTATTATCATTTTTTTAATCTACGTGAACTTACCGAAAGACCCAAAGAGTACACATACGCTTCGCACTCAGCCTGGGTACGTCATGATGATGTACGATTCTCTCTCAACCCACTGCTGTTTGCGAGCACCTATGAAGGCCAGCACGGTGCACGAGTCAGCGGATAGCCAACACCACCCCCGGCCGCCTTTGTATACCCCGGTGGCAACGTTCACACATCGCACGCACGTGCAGTAAACGTGCGTACACACATGCGTGCAGTAAACGTGCGTACACACATGCGTGCAGTAAACGTGCGTACACACATGCGTGCAGTAAACGTGCGTACACACATGCGTGCAGTAAACGTGCGTACACACATGCGTGCAGTAAACGTGCGTACACACATGCGTGCAGTAAACGTGCGTACACACATGCGTGCAGTAAACGTGCGTACACACATGCGTGCAGTAAACGTGCGTACACACATGCGCGCGCACCACCACGCGATGGTCCACGCGGACGCACGCAGAACGCGCGGCGGTGGCGGCTCGCGGCGGGAAACGGCGACGGCTGCGGCGCGAGCTCGGCTCGCCCGGGCCGACGACGCGAACGCGGTCATTGTGCGTCCCGAGTCGGCAATGACCGCAGCGCTGTGACCGAGGACCGCAACTCAATGCGACCGAGATGAGGTGAACACAAACCAAACGTCGCAGCCACACCACCAGCTGCGCCGGGATGGTTGCTATTTCAATGTCAGGAACGATGCGGCCACGCGCAAGGCTTTTACAATAAATCGTCCAAACAAATCACTTTGGCGTGGTGAGAGGGTTAAAACAATAAGTAGGACTGTTGGTGAGAAACTCGGCTCTGCTAACTCAATACCGCCTGCTCGCCTTGCTGACAAACGACAGCAGCCATGTGTTTATAATTTCACAAACGTGAATCCAGGCATCCCTAGCGTAATGCGAGGTATGCCCCCCAATAGCGTGAATTCGCAGTGACGCAACTCATCTTTTAGGGACACACGTTAGCAATGCGTTTCACAGTTACGCGCTCAAGAAAAAAGAAAGAAAATACATTATCGTTTTCCCAAACAATTCTTTGAATGACAAAATTAAAATTACATAAAATATTTGGCAGGTTAACCAACTAGAATCCCAATATGATGGCGTCACCACATCATGGCAGCGCCCAGTGTCATGGGCTGGGCGTAGCCACCCTTAGATCTGAGTGGAAGCCCTGAAGTTCATCCTCATTAACTAATGTTTGCAAGTAGCAATCTTTTTAATCTTAATTGTCATTATTCGTTCTTAACTCCTATTTCAGTAATTTTTTTGTAATATTAATAACATTATTTATTTTTACCTTTATACGCATTTTGGAAATCCAGGGTAAAAGGATGTAATGATACTTAATTTTTATTCTGTAACGCACCCCCTCCCCCAACCCCCCCGTATGACATGTACAATGTCTGTGGGATAATAGGCTTCATGCAGCGCGATTCGACTCGCGCGCTGTATTCCCGGAACGCATGTTTCTCGTTATGCGAGGGATGCCCGGATTTTGCTCACGTGCTATAATAGTTATAATTGACAGCACTCTGTCAATCCACTGCTGGATGAAGGCCTCCCCATGCCGTGTCGATCGTGGGGGTTTTCTTGACCATACTTCACCACGCCGGTCAGTGTGGGTTTGACGGAACAGGAAGGGGAATGACGTGACTGGCTTCATTACAGTAATATACTTAGATCCATCGCGACGCACAACACGGCTGACGTACGTTCAGCATTCATATCAATCACAAGTTGAGCTCGGGCAGTCAGTGGCAGTGCCCACCTCTGTTGGTCGCTCGGAGCCATTTGTGTACATTTCACGTTCCTATTGTTACGGGATGCATTGTAAACACCGGAGTAGCTGTCCACAAAATGGAACATTTAAGGGAAACTCTGGCAACCCACATCTGCGTGGAGGAGGCTACCCGTGGATCCTCTCGATCGGAACAATAGCAAACCTCGCCCGGAACATCTGAAAATGGGGCCTAAACGTGGAATTTCTGACGATCCAACAACAACGTAGTTCTGGGTTTTGATCGTGGACAGGAGGAGTGGAACTTCCTTCGCGCCGTACGTAGCCAACAGTGCTAATCAAATGCCATGCGGATACAGAGCACGTGCCGTTCTCCATCGAAACATGCGGTATACGCAGTTGCACCACTCCTGCCAGGGCAGGATGGTGCAAGTTTCCTTGAACCAAGTCACCCGGAATGCATCCGATCTCATCAGATCCCAGAAACTAAGCAAGCATGAGCCTGGAAAGTGCTTTAAGGGGGCAACCAGCATGTACAGCAGGTGCTACAGGCTGCTGCGTGGCTACGAAGTGGGCAGCAGCAGAGGACAGCACGGCAAAACATGTCGCTGTCATGTACTCCACGCTCCCACGTTTACGCCCCTTTCGACAAATCCGCACTGAACGTCGTGAAGTATGATCAAACAAACCCCAACACCTCACGTTGCGCGGGAAGAGGCCCTGTCTAGGCAATGGGCTTGCGCGAGTGCAAAAACAACCTCGAGTGGACTGTAAACCAAAGGCTGTGGCTGTTCAATGGGCAGTGAAACGTTTCAGTGAAGTCCTCCATAGACAATAAAAACTCCCACTTCAAGGTACAACGCACATTACTCATTACAGGGCGCGATTCACAGCTCACCCGTCAGTGCTTTGGCAGCTGTTGTTGGTGAGAGCTCGTGGCCAAGGGCCCATAGGCCATGGCGTTTACACCGGGCCATTAATTACCACCCTACGCAGTTCGTGGCGGGCTAGGTCTGTCCGGTGGCATGTCAATGGGAATCTTCACGGATAAACAGATTCCCTGCCACTTGACGCATCACCGTGCACACTTGGCCAAGTCTACCGACGTAAGCGCTAGGCTTGCACATTTAGTTTCAAAATGCCAATTTTTAAACGCAAAAAAAAATGCCTCAAATAAAATTTACTTTTTTCTTCTCATCCATGAGACAATGCCCAACGTGAATTCCCGAGGCGTTGGTCAAACGCTACGACACCTATCAAATATCACAAAGGCAGATCCCTCTTAGAAAGGTGTTGAGCCTCAAGAGGGATTCCCCCGATAAATAATTGGTTATTCATTCATTTTTCTGGGCGATTACTCGTCGCTGTGTGCTCCACAGAATCAGCCTCTAAGACACCGGAATTAGGACTGAGGCACTGCCACACCTGGCAACCCTCCCACCCTCGCAACCATGCACAACACTGTCGAGGAGCTAGATGGATTGATATTAAACAATACACTATTTTAATTTACCAGGTAAGGCCCACTGAGCTATATAGCTCTTTTTTCAGAAGCGACCTGGCTACCACAAATGATAGCTCAACGAAGCGGCTTCTCACGTGGAAACTCATAGGCAGCCAAGTACTCTAAACGCATGTTTCTAAAATGTGGAGGGAAAAACCGGAGGACCCGGATAAAAATCCACGCGACCACATGGAGAGAGACACGTAAATTCCGTATATACAGCAGGCGTCAGGGTCGGCATCGAATCCACGACTTCCTGTATACCAGGTGAGGTAGTTAACATCTCCTGGCCACCGCGGCGATGTAAACAGTCGGCAAAATAAAAACGACCTGAGCAGTTGCTCAGCAAGGCCGGGAGGGATGGGGGCCACGTGCCAGGCGAGTTGCCCTCACCCACGCACAACGGGGCCACGGATGGAGTGAGCACATGCCGGGAGGGATCCGTGCATGGAATCCACGTGCGTTTTAACTCGATTCCTGGACTGAAAATGTAAACGTATCGGTTTGGCTAAAGCGGCTATTTCTTAATGGAGTGCGTGGAAAAGTGGCGACCCCCTCTTGTGCCAAAGATAAAAATGCCGCTGGAAGGATTGTTCCAGAGTCTTGTCGAATCTCTCTCCTGTAGCCGCTCTCACACATGGTGCGAGCTTTGCAAATGGAATTTCCATCTCATGACACGGTGCCAAAAGCACAATGGGAATAAATGCGGAAAAAAAAGACCGCAAATATATATTTTTAATGTTAAAATAATATCTATACTCTTTGGTTCTTTCGGTAAAGTCACATAGGTATAAAATTAAATAAATCACGACGTTTCGGGCGCGGGAAAGCACCTGATGACGGACGCTTGTGTTGCGCCCGAAACGTCGTGATTTATTTTATTTTCTACCTACGTGACTTTACCGAAAGAACCAAAGAGTATGGATTCCTGCAGTCACGAAAGCTTCAAATCAATAATATCGATGTTGCCTCTCTACGCACAGAGGCCACCGCGACAGCTGGCTTACCTTAATATCGTAAACTCCTGGGAGTTGGGAAAGCTGCTCCTCAATGCTCTTGACACAGGCGTCGCAGGTCATGCCATCCACGGCCAGGGTCACACACCAAGCTTCTCCTCCAGCCATCTCGTGTGGTGTGCAAGCACAGTTGCGGGGGATCGTGGGCGATCGCTGTAAACATACACGTGACAAAAAAATTCCAGATGATATCGGCGAGCCGGAGAGTTCTCAAACAGTCGCAGCATTCTCTTAGGTTTTTTCGGTAAAGTCACGTAGGTAAAAATAAATAATACAATAAAATAATAGAAATAATAATAGAAATAAAATAATAAATCACGACGTTTCGGAGGCAACACAAGTCTCCGTCATCAGGTGGGACCGTCACAGCTAAATTTACTGTATCAAGTGAGGCAAAACTCCAAGAAACAAGCTCTTAAATACAAGTTAAGGGGGAGTCGCAGGATTCAATACGCCCGTACGCAGATTTTCAACCATCCACGTTTCTATCGATCGACTCACAATGTGTACAGTTGGAGAGAGTCAGCGAAAAACAAACACATCGATAGGATCCAGCACCGACAAATGGACATTACTGACCGATGGCTACGCGAGTGGAGAAGCAAAACAGCTATTCAACTAACGCCTAATAAAAATCAGTAATCATTTACCAACTATTAGCGCTGTCAAAAATCAACCTGGATCAACCATAACCTCCGGAACACACACACCTCCGTCAGCTTGCCGTGCCGGTGGCGGCGAAGATGCGCCACCACTGATGGACCAACGTGAACCGTCCCCGTGGGTGTTGTGTGGGCAGCGCACGACCCCCTCCCGCTCCACGCACTCCGACCCCTGCTGCTGCTGCTGCTGCTCCTCCTCCTCCCACCGCAGAGCTCCGCGCCGACCTCGATGAATGGATCCACAAAGCTGCCAGAAAAAACGGAAAAAACTGATTTTCAAGAGCAGTGTCCCGTATGGAAAACTGCAAACTCATGCTGGTGGGGGCCTGGATTTCACGCAGCATTCTGCCATCGTTGCCAACTGCTGCTCTTTCTTTAAGTCAATGAATGCCCTCTTGGTTCATTATGCCGATTAGCATAACCTCATTTACCACAATTTCATAACACAACTCGGCGGAGTCATTCATAAGCACGACAGTAGCCAGCTTGAATCTACAGCATGAATCATACGATCGTGATGCAGTAGCACAGAGCACACTGCGTGTAACGTCAGAAGTTGCCCTGCACTCGCAGTCTCTTCTATAACGCGGTGGTTGTTACGTTCCAGAAGAACACCACGTTATGGAAAGATTCCGTCATAATAGTATATAACATAGGGGGTAAAGCACAGTTCGCATGATAACACGTGAGATGCCTACGCGGGCTGAACAAAGACTGAGGGCGCGTGGGTGGCAGTCTAGAATCATCCAGCAGCATCCCACTGCCTTGTGCGATGATGCTACGCCGAGGCAGCCGTAGGACCGCTTAGTCCGACTCGCGCGACGGAGTTTCCATTCACTCAATCGCGTTATATCCAATTCGCATCCGCGTTCGAAAAAATATGTTCCCCAACACGTTCATTGCCTTATATCTAATTCACGTTGTGAAAACAACACGCGGCGTCATAGAACAGACTGTTTGTAGAACAGACTGTACTCTCCACCAGGCACGTGCTTGTGTCACTGGGCACGTCCACTTCGTACGTGTGTACATCTGTAACGGATGTACGCAGGGGTCTATGGTCACAAAGCCATGGGCTGTGGTCACGTCCCAACGAGCTAGCAGGCTCATGGAATTAAGAAATCGCTCTAAATTCAAAGTCAACCAAATCCAAATGTTTAAAATACATGCAGCAGTGCGATCTGTCTGCATACCATTCTCCGATGACATTAATCACAATTCTTGGGGTCTTTCGGTAAAGCCACGTAGATAGAAAAAAATAAAAAAAATCATGCCAATCTCTATTGTATAAAACGATGTAATCTTGGTTGCTTATTATGTCAAGCAAATATACAGCTAAGACCTCATTCACAGCGCCGTAATAATGACGCTCTCATGATGTATACGTTTGTTTTGTGCCCTGCCATTGCTCTTCATGAGCAGAAAACTTTGCCACGGGAGAATCTGCTACTCACCATGCTGGTTAAATAACGTAAACACGGAGAATCTGAGACTAGGTCACTAGGATATGGGCAGCATGGGAGAGCCGTGGAGCAGTAACTTGGAGACCGTAAACATCATCCCGAAGACTCGTTTTTTTATTTTACAAGGTAAAGCACTACAGAGCGATACAGCTCTTTTTCAGATGCGACCTGGCCACAAATGATAGCTCAACGAAGTGGCTTATCACGCGGCAATGTAGAGCAGCCGAACGATCGTGTTCCTAAACGTGGAGGGGAAAAAACGGAGGACCTGGAGAAAAAAGTCCACGCGACCACGGGGAAAACGTGCAAACTCCAAATATACAGCAGATACCAGGCGAGGTAGTTAACGTCTCTTCGCCACCGCCGCGCCCCCACCGCCAACCCAGCCATGAGGGAGCCCGCTGCTCCACCTGGCGTCGTCGCATCCGCGGTCGCCGCCTCCACCGAACGCGAGAAACTCTCCCAACGCGACCGCGGCAACAAAGAGCGTCAGCAGCACGCGGCGAGCGCGTGTCGACTGCGAGCCATGTGCGAGGGGGTCACACACGGGTCGGGGTGGTGTGGGGGGTGGAGACGCACTCGCTTGCTGCTGCTGCTGCTGGGGTCCACGGCCGAGACGGGAGACTTTATCGCTGCTTCTCGTGTTTGTGTTCGCACGAAAAGGTGTTGGTGGGGGGTGGGGAAATCCATAAAACATCACCAACGTCCTCCACACACACCCCGCACGTCGTCATGCACATCTCCCCGAATTATTATCTTGGGTAAAAACTAAAAATGACGAAACCAACACACGTGTTATTTCATTGGCGTGTATTTAAATAAGTTCAATACATGATACTGTACCCAGGGCGGTCCATAGGGGGTCGTGGGCCCGGGGCAAATGCCACGCTGTGTGGGGGGGGGGGGCCCGACACCATCAAACTAAACTGTATTACATCGTAACCCCCCCCCCCCAATGTGCGGGGCCCGGGGCAGTCGCCCCGATTCGCCGCACCCTCGAGGTCGCCTCTGTATATAACCCTGGCCGACGAGTTAACAGCTTTGATTATGCACTTGAGCAGCCAAGCCAAGTCAAGACCGCGCCGCGGCATTGTTCCTCCTCGGACGAAATCCGCGAAGTTGAAGTATCCCGGTGACGTCACCCGCGAAACGCGAGGGCCGGGAACTCACAATGGCCTCATTCCTCCTCCTTCAGTCACAGCCCTCACACGCCAGAAGTCCCGTTCACTAATCACTTACACCGGCTACGACCGACAACATCAATGTCTCATTGAATTAACGTATAACATCTATGGGGGGGGGGGGAGGTGGTTCAATCCGCACGCTAATTTTAGCTTTCAACTTTTCACTCTGCATGTGGAACCTCGTGCTATTATTACAGCTGCTGGTTTTCGGTTAAGTGATATTCGCTCAATTACTCTGCACAGAAGACAATAAATTCCTCTTAACCGTAGCCGGCATGGGGTTATTCGGCCACAGCCAGCACCACCCAGGGATGAGTAAAGACATTTTCACCAGTTTCCCAGCAAAATTAAAGAATGGTTACGCACATTTCGCCGGATTACATCCAGCATCATCAGCTCCAAGCCAGTGCTCAGACCTTGAATTAAGGGTGATGACAATTCCAACCTTAATCCTTCTTCCTCAACTATTACAACTCACCTGCTCAAGTGTGTCTCTCTAATGAGGTGCACCTGCGATTATCTGCCGTGCGTTTAACATCGCGTAACGAGGCTCTGTGCGCCACGTTAATCCGATCCTAAGACGCTTACGCAACGTGGCATCTGGCCAGACTCGGGGGAATTCTCCGCACTCACGGACTCACTCGCACACCTTCCAGCACAAAACACGTGGACGCACGCGTGGAATGGTACATAAACAAACGCAGTCACGTAGATTAACTATTTTTTTTACTTTAACAGAAGCGCGCCCTGGCCACAAATGATAGCCCAAATGAAGTGACTGGTCACGTGGAAATGCATAGCAGCCAAATACTCTAAACGCACTTTTTTTTGTAAATGTGGAAGGGGAAAAAACGGAGAAAAATCCACGCGATCACGGTGAGAACGAAATGCAAACTCCAAATAAAACAGCGGGCGTCAGGGTCGGGATCGAACCCACGACTTTCTTCGCACCCGGCGAGGAGGTAGTTACCATCTCGCCGCCCCCTGACGACTCGACAAAGCACCCAGCTACAAAAGCCACCCAGGTAAGTGGTACTGTTAAACTCGGGGGGGGGGGGGTGCTGTTGAAATTGGTTATGGCCGTCTGAGAAAAAGGAAACAAACCGGTTACCGGTTCACCGAACATACAGATGACGTGTCGAGTCTTAAACGCTACATCACTATCTCTTGAAGTGAGAGAAGCGAAGGGGGGTGAGTGTCTGCCACAGCGGCGGTGCGATGGTCAGCGAATTGGACTTGCAATCCAGAGGGCTTCGGTTCGATCCCATCTCCCGGCGGCGGTAGCAGTTTAAAGAATGGGACTCGTTGATTGAATGCCCCCACCGCCACCGCCACATCCCACCGGCACCCACCCTCCACCGCCTCCTCTATCCACCCAACACGAGAAGTCAATGGGGGGTGCACTGCAACAGCTCGCTCCGCAGGTGACGAGCGGCGTGGGGTAAAGTGTGTGCACGTCCGGTGACGGACTGGGGCAAAACAAGATCGACCCAGGCCTTTGTAAACACACCGGCTCAATTTCGGGATAAGGACAAATATGAATGTTTCTCTTTTAAATGTTCGGCGTCCCCTTTTCGTTTTTTTAGACGCCTTTTTGGGGCCATAAATGGGTTGTGCGATAACATGTAAACTGTGTAGTACTCGTAATAATGTGTTAGCCTTTCTGGCAATAAAACAGGCGTTAGGATATTGGAACACGTAACTGCCAACCCCTTATCAGTGCCAACCTTATTCCAGACCAATTCAAACCTTATTCGTCAACCCGTGCCCTTATACGTCTCAACGTTCATCCTACAAATTCTCATCACGAAAGAGCACAAATAAACAATGTGTTGTTTCACCCATAATGAAACGGCTGTACGCCGCGTGGGCCTGAAAACTCTATTTGCCTGTACAAAAATACGGCTAAAGCGCGCGTGTTGACACTGTATGTGAACACCAAATTAGGCCTCGGCAAGGTAAGGTAAAAGTTAAAAGGTAAAAAAAACGAGCCTACCTTTACCCTACCGTTTACCTTACCACAATACAATCACTCTACCCTACCTTTTACCCTTTAGCAGGTAAGGTACAAGGTAAAAAGCAACGAGCCTACCTTTTACCCTTACCCCATACAAATGACCCGATTACAGGGTAATTACTGGGGAACTACTACACATGAACAAGGTGTATAACGGTGAATGCTACAAGGTAGAGCGCTTTATTCATATAGAATACTCTCGATGATTACAATTTTACACGCTTGTTGTCGTTGTTGTATCCTCAAATTTTGTAACTACATTTTTACCCACTTCCTAATGTGGTATCGACTGCAAACTTGGTATACTTATGTCATACTGATGACAACACTATATTCTATCATAAAATCCTTTTTTATATGTTATGTTTCGGCTTGGGTCTAATTGTCCACGCTCAACTGACGTTGGCTGTAATTGGCCACGGTCCCTCATGTCGTGACAAGCTTCGGGGCCACTTCCTGGAGTCGTGGAGTTC